TATATAATTACTTAATATAATTAAATTTATAAAATTAATAATATTATATATGATTTGTTTTTTATGATAATTTGGAAATATTAGAACTTATTTTTAGAATAAAATCAAGATAGTTTATGAATATCATAAAATTGTACGGATGTCATATTGAAAGTGGGATAGATGGGGACTTTGCTCTCTATCCATACCTTTTTCTCACCATGACATGATCCTATGCTATTCTGATGGCTCTTTTCTCAGGGTGGCATCTAAAAAACAGCTTGAAGGATAAATTATAAATCAGATAATTTAAATCAATTTATTATTTGATTAATCTAAACTGTCAGATTATTTTCAGGCTCTACAACCTGAAATTAATCAAATATTTTAGAATAATGATTGGTTACATAAAACTTTTAATATGAGAAAACTCATCATAAAAAAATTTTTTTTGAAGCTTTCTATTATTGAAGAAAATAATAATAATTATTTATCTGCTGGAGAAATACCTTTACCAAGATTATATTTCACAATGTCCTTTGTGTTCTTTTTGACTGGATGTGCTTGGATTTATGTACTTCGCATGAAGAAGTAAGTTTTCTGTTTTTTTTTTTTTAATGTATTTATTTAAAAGTTGAACTTTTAAGTGCAAAATTTCTAAGTATTTTGAATCTCTATGTATAATTATTATTTTATTGAAAATGTTCTTAATAGGACATTTATAATATTCGTAATGTAAAGTATTTTTGTCTACTCTCTTAAACTAATCATTGTAGATGATTTTTTACAATCTACAATTTTACTTTAATCAATTATTTTAAAAAAACAAACAAAAAAATTATCTTAAAGTTTATATATATATTTTAATTATTGAGTTAAATTAGAATCCTGAAATGTTAAAAGCACTCCCATAAAATTATTTTATAATGTACTTATACTTTCTTTAAATAAGAGTTTATTACAAAATAGTTTAATAGAAGTTATAAAATGTTATTACCCTAAAATTTTTGGTCTCTGAAAGCTCATGAGAATGATACTTGATTCAAGAAAACTGGATGTCTTTAGAGATAAACCCAATTAAGAGCAAACTTATCACTTGTGTATAATAAATAGGGACAACTTTATTTTGTAATATTGGCAAGTGCACTGATAAGAGACAACTTGAACATTGTGATGATCATTTTCTTTTTAAAACAGGCAAAAGCATGTTATAACGTTAATTTAGTTGGAAGGAAATGGAGTCTGTTGCAAGTGGCAGGCAATACAACCATCATCAGTGCAATGATTAGTTTTTATCACTCTAATATATATAGCAAAATACTGGGATCCTTAAGGTTTTTCTTACCCAAGGCATGTAATTTCTTTGACTTCTCAAAAATTTGTATTAATTTACTGTACATTTTTCTTTTACAATTTAAACAGAGACGGAGTGTTTACAATAAGAATATTAAAACCAATTAACCATCATACAATATAAAAATTAGTGAAATGTTGACAATGTGTGAGCATGATTATCTAGATTTACATTTACAAAGTGTACATAAGTAAGAATGACAGGGCTTAGAAACACATTAAAATTCACAAGATTTGTTTTCAAAAATGTAATTTATGTCAAGTATAAAGAACTAAGTTAAATAAAATTTGTAGCAAAGATTTATATGCACTGTATGAAAAAATTTCTTTAAAAAGTTAGCCAGAAGCTAGTTGCAGAAGTTAATAGAAATGTAAATAATATACAAATGCTGTTCACCAATTTTTTTTCATTGCTGTAGCCAGAGACTAACTTCATATGCAGTTTTTAGATCTTACAAAAATATAGCTAGTGAGTTAATTTAAATTTTCACACATGAAGTAAAACTTATTTATTGTTTTTTGTTTGTTTGTTTGAGTTATGGCAATGTTACATTTGGGTAATCTGACAAGGGAGATGCCTCTCAGGAGGTCTTTTTAAGGGAAACTCCCTTATTTAGGCATTAAAGTCACAAAGAAACCTGGAAAACTCTATGTGGCCAGCCCGTCTGAGTGAAGCACAAACCCATGACTGGACTTCCATTGTTCAGGGAACGAAGACCGCTTGGCCACTGGTGGGCCTATTGTTTTTTGTTTTTGCATTATGAGATCATAGTATTTTAAAATCACTTAAAATTGGACCATATAAATCATGATTACTCTACCTTTATTTTTAATGTTTTGACAATTAGTACAGATGCACATTCTTTTACTTAGAGTTTTAGATCATTTTTAACATTGTGCTTTTGCATTTTTATTTTTCAAAATATTTTAAGAAAAAATTAAAACTCATAATATGTATATGTGAAGAATTATTATAAAATGTATCATAGAGGAAAGCATTGCAAAATGCCAAGGATAGGCTGCTGATGAGGACTGATTGAGCCCTTAGTAGAATGCATCAATTGTCATTTTTAAAATTTAAACATTTTGAGATTTTAAAAACAATGTGTTAGTTACATTATATGAATTTTGGAGAACAATCTGTAATACTTGTAATAATCTAACAACAGTAAAAATGTTTTTGAACTATTTTAACTCTTTCTGAAATTTGTATAATTAATGCTTACACTTTCAGTTTGAGATTGAACTAGTCTAAAAATGAAAACAGTTTAGAAAATTACAAATAATTGCAATTTAAATGGTATCATTTTTCATTTTAATAGTTTTGATTTTGTAACAAAAAATCAACTTTCAATTAGATATTTTTAAATAAGTTTGGGATATTTATTAAAGGCTAAAAATTAATAAATTTATATTTTTGTAATAGAGTACAAGATGTAGAATTTATTAGTTAATGAATGATAAGTAAATAAAACTATTTTTTTGTACTTTTTAAATTCATATATCATTCTGTTTGTGAATTAATAACAGGATGAATTGCTTCTATATAATAAAACATTTTACTTTAAACTTCTAATAATTTAGCAATTTTAAAAAGATATCTTTTTCAAATTAACAATTTTAACTAATTAAAAAGTTACTTTTACAAATGAAATTGATAATTTGTTTGAAAGAACATTCATTTAAAAACAGCTAAATAGATTAACTTGCAGAAAATGTTTAGTAATTATTTTTAAAAATCACTTTGCTTGTTTATGATTTTTCATATTGTCTACACAATCTTTTAAATCAAGTAGTTGACATGATGTTCAATACTAGTATATTATAAGTATCTCATGATCACATGAATGGATTATGATATGAAAGTAAATATATCCTAGGAAATCTCATTCTTGGCCTTTTCTGCCACTGTTCTGACACATACACAGCTTTTTCATGGCAGTATACATATTGCCACTTCTGTCACCAATTTCAAATTGTTATTACTCTTTCTTTAAAACTCTCACAAGAAATCAAAAATGACAAAATTGACAGTGGGAACACTGATCAATGATTAATGTTGCAAGCTTCAGCATGTGCAGTGTCATAGCAGTTGGATGTAACTTATGACACAGTATAGAAAAAAAAGTTGGTGCATTATTATAAGAATTGCCATGACCAGCAGTTGCTTGCCAAGAAACAGGGAAACCCAATTGACCTTTTTTTGTCAGAATGAAAGCAAAGGTGTTATGGCCTTGGAACAGCAAGGCATGTTTTCACCTCAGTGGAACAGTGAACACCTGTAACTCATATCTGGGCCATAAAAAATCTTCATGTTTTCTTTGGCCCAGATATGACAATTATGGCAAGTTTACTAAGTTATAGTTAGGCATGGATTCACAACCACATTTATTCCTGGATCATTCTTTGAGAAACTAATCCCAAGGGATTCATACCATTCTCAGTGATGGCCAAGAGATGCTCACTGCTTTTGTCATCTTAATTTGTGTGATTTTTGGTTGATGTGGTTTATTGAAAACATGTTGCAAATTTGACAGCCTTGAAGTCAGTATCCTACTGAATGTGAGAAGCATCACATTTGAGTATCAATTATAGTTGGTCATTAAACATAATCAGTTTTTACATCAAAATGAGGACCACATTGAGCAGTATTTCCTACATTGATAAGATTTTTGTTTAACATGAGTGTCTTGTAAAAATAAAATATTTGGTGCTTGTAGTGCCAAAAGTACTTTAGTGTCAAGTTTTTGTACTAATTTTTTTATGGAAATGTTTTCTGCATGCCTTGAAATTTTATGATGCCAGATTTGGTTGCATTTAGACTGCTAAATACCATTCTAGACAGTGCTGAATAGGTGTACTTTAAATATAATCAACCAGTATGTGTATTAATTTTTTACATTAATGACATTTTTTAATCTAATTATTTTTCTTTATTTTAGGCAAGAATCTTTCAAAATCCACTATTTAATGGGCTTGCTTGTTTTTGTGAAATCATTATCATTAGTTTTTCATGGAGTAAGTAGAATTATTTTTCTAATTTTATTGTATTTGCACAAGTTAAGTTTTAAGACAATTTTATATTTAAATGAAAAGTAAAAATTAACTTTTTGGCAAGTTTTGAAAAATTCTTCTATTATTAATATTTGTTCCAAACTTTATTTAGCAGTAGGAAATTTTCCCTGTTGCTGGGGGAAGTACATTTTAAATTAGTACATCTATTATCAATATTTAATAAAAATAACTTTTGTGTATAAACAAATTATATCAAAAATATATGGAAGAATTTAATAAAAGAAAAATAATTATTTTGAAAAACCTATTATATTAATATGAAGTTTTATTGTCATTTGTAATGGTAATTGACATTTGTAGCTATTGTATTTAGTTTATTAAACTTTAATTTTTTTCTTTAATAAGTTTTAAGATTACAAATGAAACTTCATTATATTTACAGTATTTTCAATTAATTCATCATTGCGTACTTTGTATATCTTGTACTATATATTTACTTCTTACTGTTTTTGATATAAATCTTAAGTATGGTTTATTGGTTTTTTTGTTTTTAATTAAATAATTGAAATATTTAAGATTTTCAACACGCACAAACTATGATTTACATAATTAACTGTTTGAACATTTTATTTATTAACAACAATCATTTTGATCTTTTGCAGATAAATTATCATTTTATAGCAAAAGACGGTTCTCCAATGGAAGCTTGGGCTGTCTTGTACTATATTACACATCTGTAAGTAAATTGAAAAACACAGTAGTATAATTGAATGATTAATGAGTTAGAAACAAGTATTTTAAATATTTTTCAGTTTGAAAGGAGCACTTTTATTTATAACAATTGTATTGATTGGAACTGGTTGGGCTTTTATCAAGCATATTCTTAGTGACAAAGATAAGAAAATTTTTATGATTGTCATTCCATTACAGGTTTGTGTAATTTAGTATTAAATGAATTAGAGTATTAAATTTTAAGGACTTTAGAGTAATCTTTAGTTTTGTGGGTAATAATAATCAAATAAAATTCAATATTTGTTAAATTTTGAATATTTATTTTCCAAAATTTAATATATTTGTGTTAGTAATATATATGAAACATATTTTTCAAATAAAAATCAAACATAAATGTTATGAAAGTTTAAAAAGAATTTTTAAAATTTATGAAAATATATATTTAATTTTTAAAACTTATATTTTAAAACCCCCCAAAAATTTAATATCTGATATAAATGGATTATTGAAACCCTTGAGAAAGAAAGAAAAAAAGAAACAAATTATAAGGGAACTTCTAAAGCTACAAGACACTATGGATTTAAATTATTTATAAGAATTCCAGATATGGTGTTAAAATCAAATATATTTGAATATATAAAAAACAAAAAATTATAAATTCTGTAAAATTACAATTTATTTTGAGCTAAAGTTTGTTTCAATATATGATATGGTTCAATATAATTGTTACTTCTCATGTCTCTCTCAAGTTCATTTAACAAAGAAAAATATAGGAATTAGATTTGAAATTGATATTTTTTAGTAACTGTGACTGGTGGGTCTTGATCTTTGTCAGGACTGACACCACTGTAACCTTCGTCAGGATGAGAGGGTTACGTATGTTACAATGAGCGATTGCGGATGTGGTCGTTCGGGTGGATGGAGTGAGAGACAGCGTACTGGAAGTGACTCACACAGAGACTAGGTTAACATAACAACAGTTTAATGGGTACCGATAGGCTATACATTCTTTTACATTAAGTTGTTAAGTTCTTTAGACGAGGTATAATGCACGAACAAGAGAGAGAGTTTACAATTTCCATGTGGCGATAATTATTTTGAGGTCAGGTAAGTCTTTATGAGGTTCAACAGTTCCGAGTTGGCGAAATCTGTAATAATCCCAATAAGAGGCACTTAGTTCATTGGGTTTCTGATGAAATAATCCAAGGATTTGGCACTTAATACATTTGTAGATCGATGGTTCATACTTAAATCCAAAAATGTGCAGTGTGCGGGCACGATGAGTTGGAACAAAAAAACTTCTAAGGGTCGGATGAAGATGATAATACATAGAAAGAACAGCGATGACTGTGACGAAAATTGGTCTGTAGCTATTTTCATTTGACAACTTTGCAATAATAGGTCGAAAAGTTATGTGAAAGCATTCCTTAGCAACTGAGAACTTCTGAGTGATTAACTCCCAGGTGTGAAATTTGATACTTAACCGATAAAATAGTATTGTTAACGATTTAGGTCAGGCCAGGTGGTAGTTTAGTAAACAAGGCTGAGTCTCACATAACTGTTTGTGTTTACAGATAGACACCCAAGCCTAAATTGTAAAAATAATCAAATGATAACATCAGATTATTTGTTGTATAAGATGGCATCTTTACTGTCTGTCCTAAGTTTAAATTATTTTGTATTTGTTATATGAATTAGCAAAGTTCTAGCCTAAAAGTTAATTCAGCATTATTGTTTGGTTAACATTTAGTTCATTTTTATTTAATTTATTATGATTAATAAAATTACAAAATTTGTTCAATAATTTTCTATGAATATTGGAAAATTATAAACAAGATGAGTGTATGAATGTATGATGATGGTGATTTGATGATAGTGATATTAGATCTAGTATTTTGAATTTAAAAAGTTTCCTTAATTTCTCAATAGATTTGATAGAAATTAGCATTTGTAAAAACAACAAACTATGAAAAGTTAAATATTATTTGATTTGCTGATTTTTAATCTGTATAAATTTTAGTTAAAGTAAATAAGTTTACTATATAGTAAACTTCTCTCTGTTAACTTGGACTAATAGGAGGTGAAAGTTGTCAGAGTTAGCAGTGCGTTTTCTTTGATGATGAGGTAAAGAGAATGTGGATACAGTACAGTAATTTATTATTACAGGGAATGAGCTCAGAAAATTTCATGACCATACAGTATACAGTAATGTTCAGTCTTTAATACAGTAATACAGTAATGTTCAATCTTTAATAACTTATCAATTACAATAATATGATGCCCGGTATTTTTATATTTAATAACTAATTACAATGTATTGGAAAGTTTTTAATTTTAATTGCTGTAAAATTAGAAATTTTAGTACCAAACACCATAATTGAATCAATAATTCATAAATTCTGGATAAAATTCATTATTACAGTATCATCATTATAACAAGAAGTGAGATTTGTATTGGGTGTTAATATTGTGATTTATAGTATTTATAGAGAATTTCTTTTGTGACTGTTTATATCTGAAAATAAATTTTTCTAATAAAGTGCATTAATTTTTGAATGTAGGTTTTAGCAAATGTAGCTGAGATTATTATGGAAGAAAGTGAAGAGGGTGAAACTCAACATACTACCTGGAGAGAAGTGTTCATACTAGTAGATTTACTCTGTTGTGGAGCAATCCTGTTTCCAGTTGTTTGGTATTAATTAGTTAATTAGTAAATTTTTTGATTATTAAATTAGTGAGATGATAATTAAACATAGTTTATTAAGAAATTTATAAATATATAACTTGCATTAACCCTTTTAGTATTGATTAACACNATTATAGAAAAAAAAAAATTATATTATTTGAAATTTAAATTTAATACATTTGGATTTAAATGATAAAGAAAGTTATAAATAAATAATTATGAAAAATAATTCTGAACACAAACACAAAAATTATTTTGCATCTATTCCACTTTTCCCCCACTAATATGAACACAAATGAAATCTTACTAATACTGACTTTTATTGTAGGATCTCACTATTCATATGTGATACTAGTTAAAATTGTTTTAAAGTATAGAATATATAACATTTTAACTTTTTTTAACAAATTTGTAGCACAAATAAAAAATTACAATACTGAAGGTAAATTTAATGATTTTTCCATATTTACTTAATGTCAATACAAAACTTTGACAATGTTTTTTCATTTAAATTGAAAGATGCTCTCCAAAAGTAATACTATTAAAATTTTAATTACACTCTTTCAATTAATCAACTTTTTTTATACCTTAGCATTGAATAATCTAGTTCAGGAAATGGTCATTATGAATAATTTAACTAATAAAATTTGAAAACATATTAAACTTATATTTTTCAACACTTTTAGTTGCATTATCAAATAATGTACACAAAGACTTAAAAAAAATCAGTCTCTATGAATATTAAGAAATTTATAAATATATAACTTGCATTAACCCTTTTAGTATTGATTAACACAGTTAAAGACATTATTTTGTTTAAATTCAAAATACAAAGTTAAATCTGACAACATTGCTATGTCACCCAGAAATTAATGTGCATATCCAAGTTTTGCTTCAAAAGTGGGCCTGCAGGACCAAAGTACAGTATTTTTTCTTTGTTATTTCAGCATATTATCTCCATAGGGTAGAAACTGGTATGGGGGATTTTGAAAATTTTGTTGAACATCCAAAGGTTTCTTTGACACAGATAGATAGAATACATGTCAGGGAAGGTCAATTTGTCAAAATTTGAAAAATATACATTTAAATAATTGTGGCCTGACACAAAATTCATACCAAAGTTATTAGTCAATACATACCTGGCAACTACTTTAGGAGAATGCAACAACAGTCTGGACATACAGGACAATGATTGCTAAAAGGTTATGACATTATCACTTGTTTTAGCTAAAAGTATAGCTAGCAGCCATTTTTTCTCAAAACAGATATTATGTCTGGTATAATAATTCTCTCTGCTTTCTTATTTTCCTGGTCACCTGTTTGACCTATAGCAAAGTGATTCCACTCTGTTCTTGTGATTGACAATAACAGTGGTAAAGTGAGGGAAAAATACATTAGTCTGAAACATTTGTAGCGGTGTAAAACAGAGTTGTTCAAATGAGAGAATTTAGACACTCATAGGCTTCAGCCAGGACAGTATAAAATGTTTCATAACAGAGTTGTGTAAGAGGTGTATAAGTGAGAGGTCACTGTATTTAATTTATTCTGGAAATATTTCATATTGTTTAACATGTTAACTGCCTGATGTAATATGACACTTTGCATCTGGAGGGGGGCAAAAAATGAAAATTTGATATCTAATAATTGATTATAACGTAAATAAAAGGGTCGATGTACAACAGTCAGGACCGGAAAGTCGTATGACCTTGAACATGAAACTGCTTTCTCCCAGGCAATAAACTTTACAACCCCACTGTAATTAGACATCCTTCCCTACTTAAAAGTATTTACATCTGTGTGTTAAAGTATTTCACACTTTGTTTCAACTGCAAATGATGTTTTTTTTTCTGTAAATATATATGAAAATGCACTTATGTACTTTGATTTTTTTTTTGTAATATTATTTACTTTATATGTGATAAAAGAGAATAATTAAACTAATTTTCGATATTTTAAATTATTTACTATTAAAATAAACCACTATCAGATATANTGCTTTTTTTTTGTAATATTATTTACTTTATATGTGATAAAAGAGAATAATTAAACTAATTTTCGATATTTTAAATTATTTACTATTAAAATAAACCACTATCAGATATAAAATAGCGTTTTATTTAAAAAAAAACTACCACTGCCAACCTTGTACCGCGTCACGACGCACCGGCGGTCATAGCTTGGATTGGTTTGCCATACAACAGCCGGCATTCGAAGCCAACTGAATAGATATCCACGAGAGACCAGCACTAAGCATGCAGAAAACATCGTACGAGGCCAGGAAAATTTAACCTTGAGTAAAACTACATTGTTTACATCTACGGGCTGTCGTAGCCCGTAGACGTAAACAATGTAGTTTTACGCTGTACGGGAATTTCCATTATGACGGCGCGCGCGTCATATGGCGACCAACATGTTAAATGATTAAAATAATACATATGCCTCTGAAAACTGTTGCATGTTTAGAAGTAATTACTTAATAAAAATAGTTTAATGTTAAACAGCTTCATTAAATAGATAGATAGATAGATAGATAAATATTTCACATAAATTTCATATGAAGTAACATATTGACAGTTACATAGTTGATGACCACTTCACACAAACAAAGCACAGATTTCTTCAGGCTTTCTTTGTAGGCTACAGAAGAATGATGTAGTTACCTTGCCAAATATGCATATTTAATTTTGTATGAAATTTGTTACTTCATACAAAATATTAATCTATGATTATACAATTACAAAATTTTACATAAATTTATGGTTGCACCCTATATATTAAGTGATGATCTATAAACTGTCTTAAGTGTTTATCTTTGGTATTTATTTTTTAATTTGATTTTAGGTTGAGACTTATTTAATTACTAAATATATTAAAAGAAAGTTAGCTGCATGAATATTGTTTCCTCATGAGGCTATCATCTATGTAAAGAGCATATATTTTGATGTTACGAAGAGATTATTTTTATATCTTAAGTAATACAACATGTCTTTACTGAAATATATTTCATTATCTCAATATAAATGCCATTTTAGAAAAATAAATCTTATATCAAATTTTATTAGTGTAGAATGAGATAAAATATAAGTAGAATAAGCCTCTCCTAATATTGGCTTTTATCCAGTGTGTAGGAGATGTTCATGTAAGCTGATTATTATAATAAAAATTAATATTTTAGTATTTTTATAATTGAAATTTTGAATTTTTATATTTCAAATTGTAAATCAGTAAAATTTACAGCAAATATATTCCCACACAATACTAGGCTTTGTTTTTAGTGAACCAGTTGTTAAAATTAGCCAAAACATCTTGTAAGGCAAAACAGCATATTAGTTGCAGTGGTGCATTTTATGAAGAAAAATATTTGCAAGTTTTATTCTCATCTTTACTAGTATCATAAACTAAAAACTAAACAATTTTTATAATCTCAGAAATATTCTAAAATGAATTTTACTTTACAAATGTTTAAAACTATTGAACTTCAAAAAACATAAAAATTTTAAATATGTATCATAAATTTAGTAGTACTGTAAGTAATAACATGTTTGCTTTAGATATGAATAGAAATATTGTTTTATTTGTATATTTATTTTCTGGTTATAGCAAATGATGTATTAATGCAACACAAATAACACACACAGCAATTATTTAACTTATTTTTATTGAATGTATGATATATATATATACATATACATATGATAGTCAAAAATAAACCAAACTTTTAATATTATGTTAATAGTACAAATATTTATAGATCATATTCAAAAGAAAAAACCTACAGCCAAATATTTCTTCAAAATGTATACCATTTATTAAAGCAGTTTTGCATCTCATTTTGTGTTACCTCCTTGAGGGCAATTATTGCAGCACTTTTTATTTCTTCTTCTGATTTGAATCTGCAACTCTTCAATAGAGCTTTCATTTTGAAGGCATGAAAGTCCGTGAGTAAGGAAGATATGAAAATACAGGCATCTGGTGTTTTGCAAGAGGTTTGCTAAGTAGAAGTGTGTAATGTATCAGGATGTTGTGATGGAGAACCTAGCTTTTTTACTTGCCTGAGATAAGGCCATTTTTGTCTTATTTTTGTAGGCAATCAAGAATATCACTATAGTACTCTTTGTAAATGGATCTAATGGAATAAATACAATGCATTAGGGCTTTCACATCAAAAAGGCATAAGCATGACTTTCTTTTAGATCTGTTGACATGCTGGTGTATACAGTAAGACCCACTTAATGCAGGAGATACGTTCCTAGATGGCAAAGCACTAAACAAAACAGCATTAAACTAGGTCATTTTAACATAGAGTAAATAGGGATGTGAACATGCAACCAAAAATAAACAAATTTTACTTTAAGTTATTTTTATATTAATTTGTATAATAATATATGTTAAATAACACAAACATATGCACACAGAAATGTAAAGTTCATTTTTTGTGATGAACATGAACCAATTAGAAAAAGATGGCAAAAGGTGTACTTTCTTTACATCTATGTTTGTTTGGTGCAATTTTGGAAAAAAATATATCATCATGGATGCCATAGGCAATATCAGCTTCACTTGGCAAGAATTAAGTGATAAATGCACAAACGAAGTGTGGAAGAAGTTATGGCCGTAGGTATCCAAGAATTCTCAACGAGAAGAGCCTATTGCTGTATCATTAGGATGACCAAACTCAACCTAATCGATACAGCAAGAATACGAGATGTNATAATTTGATCAAGATTTCAGTTATTGTTACCAAACTTTTACTAAAGAAATCTGTAACAATATCTTTGGGTTCTTTGTTTTCAGAATCACTATTTTCCAATTCTACATGAATTCTTTGTTCTGCCAGTTCTTGAAGGTCGTCGTTGGTAAGCTCTCACCAGAAACCTATAGTAACTCCTGAATATCCTGCTCGTCTACATCTCGTATTCTTGCTGTATCGATTAGGTTGAGTTTGGTCATCCTAATGATACAGCAATAGGCTCTTCTCGTTGAGAATTCTTGGATACCTACGGCCATAACTTCTTCCACACTTCGTTTGTGCATTTATCACTTAATTCTTGCCAAGTGAAGCTGATATTGCCTATGGCATCCATGATGATATATTTTTTTCCAAAATTGCACCAAACAAACATAGATGTAAAGAAAGTACACCTTTTGCCATCTTTTTCTAATTGGTTCATGTTCATAAATAATAGTATTATATACAAATCAATGAATTGCTGCAATACTTTAAATCAGAGTAAATTTTGAGGTTTTTTAGGTGTCAAGCAGACTGTGTTATATAAAATAAGCATTAAGCGAGGCAGCGTTAAGCAGGGTCTTACTGTACTTTAAACTATGGTATCATAGTATTAATCCAACAAATACAGATTTATTGTGTGCTGAATAAATACTGGCATGTCTAAGAAAATGTTCTAATGTGCATGAGCTTACAGCCATTGCTAAGCATATCAAAAGTTCAGTTTATCTTTGACTCTACTAAGTATGTTTAAACAGTAATATTATTCATGGTGTATGCTTAAAGAAGGAAAAAATATGTTTAATTTAATGGATTTCTTTAACTACAGTTAAAACAGATTTTATTACATCAATAATTTTATCAAATAAAAATTATAAAACTTCATATAAAATTGAAAATTTTCATAATTATATATTAAGATTTCATAAAAACTTTGTCATTTTAGGTCGATACGTCATTTACAAGAAGCATCGCAAACTGATGGTAAAGCAGCCATCAATTTAGAAAAATTAAAACTCTTCCGACATTTTTATGTAATGGTAAGTATTGGCTTATGTTGTTAATTAAATATATTGATTTAGAAGTGTTTAAATTACTTTTTGTAAATAATACTGTATATCACATTTATTATACTGTAAAAGAATTAAACAATAAATTGATTTGACTTTTATGTATCAATTCTTTTTAAATTTCTCAGCTCAAAAAGGATTAAAACATAATTATTAAAATAAAATTAGTAATGTTAAAAATTGTATTTTGAAGTTACCTTTTACAGAGATGTAATATATAAAAGTGAAATGAAATTTGATTTTTAAGAAGTCAAATGTTTTATATGCCATTTGCTCATGTTAACATTTTTAGAATTAACATAATTCTAAAAATGTTAACATGGGAAAGTTCAGGGAAAAATCTTTGTATAAATTCTCTTTTGGTAGAATGTTATAATTGAAAAGTAATATAAGGCAACAATAAAACATTGATAACTAAGAATATAACACAAGTATGTTTTGGATAGCTTTAATTATAACATAATTTCTCAAATGACAATGCAAGTAATTAGTCTGTCCATGAGGAAAACACTACTGAAGAATATGACAACATTAAATGGGAGAGATTCATTTTCAGAAATAAAGATGCCCAAAAGATAAAATGGGATATAGGCTAATACTGCATATTTATTTCATTTGAATTAAAACTACTATTTTTTCAATTTCTGAATTTAAATTTTTGTTACATGCTCAAATATACTGTATAAATGAAAAACATTTTTGTTAAGAGTTTGATATTAAAAAACTATTATTAGTGCTCATGTATTAAATTAATGTTTATTTAGTAAAAGATCAAGTCTTTGTACTTCAGAGAAATAACAGGTAATTCAAATTCAATTACAAAAATGATAGTGTATATTTGCATAACTTATTCTTGAATACTTAATAAATATAATGTCAAAATTTTATGGACAGTTGAAATTGATCTGCCTGATTTTATGTGGTACGACACAAATTGATAAGTGTGGTTCTTTCATGATAGCTTTTGCATAGCACTTACTGCATATTCTGAGACAGTTTTGTTTGAATTTATTCAGCAAGTAGTGCCTGTAAGATGTGAAAATTTTTTTTAGACTGTTAATTAATTTTATTGTATTTCTTTCCTTGAATATCATTAATACTTAATATATGTGTTACAAAAACCCTTGAAATGTTATGGAAATCCTAGAATAAGTGAAAAAATGATCCCTATTTCAGAGAGTGTGTGATTGTTTTGAATTTGCAGTTGGCAATTGTATATCTGGAGTAGGGTTGACACACTTTCATATTTTGCTTCTCATTATGATGTTTTATAGCATGCATTATTATACCTAAAAAAGTATGGCCAGATGGCCAAACAATTAAGATGTCAACCTACTGCTCTGAGGAATGAATCTTGATGGGTTGAAAAATCCCAGAAATATTTTGAGGGATAGTCTGTCCCTGATATGTTAGGCCCTGTCTCTCACCACTTGGCTGCTCCATTGTAGGCCTTTCCAAACCTATGATGGGCTTAAAAAAAAGAGGCAAGTTTTTTAACTCTCTACTTAGCCCACAGAGTAGAGTCAAAACAACAAATTCTAAAGTCTCCAAAAATAGTTCTTATTTTTTTTTATGAAGGTTCTTGTGAGAAAACACTTGATTACTACTATTTCCTGCAAATATATCTTCATTTCCATTATTCCAAATTTGGATATGAAAAAGTTTGTAACCCCAATCTGGAATAAAGAATTAAGGAAGACAAGTCTATCCAGACATCACAGTTTATCTGTAGATTCTATTTAAAAGCAATATAAAATTACTTGTATACAATTTTTACTTTTTATCTCTTTGAATAAAAGCCTTCCTGTTGGCAAAATGTTTTCATTGCTCTCTGTTAACCTTATACACAGACTAACAGCAACTGCTAATCACTTACTCTAATGTTGTTGACATGGCAGAAAAAAATGAGAAATATGGTTGATGTGATGAAATATTGAGAAATATTCAGTAAACAGTAAAATATGTTACATAAAATTGGCATAATTTGCTTCAGAAATTGACAGGAAAGTCAAATATCAAAGATTGACTTTCCAGCATATCAGCAAGAAAACATGAATCATATAAATCTGGGTTTAGTTATCAATATTTGTATATTGTTGCACATTAATGGGATTCTATAATAATAACATTGCAGAATTGTTTTTTTAACTGAAATAGATGGAGACTTTATAAAATGTCCTGTATAAAAAAGAAATATGAAAAATTACCAAAAACTTATTCATATATTGAATATTTTTATTATTCTCTGTAATGTAGTTATTATTATTTATAAAATATTGTTTTACTGATAAATTTTAGGAATGAATGTATTAATAATTGTAATTTTGTAGAAATAAAATTCTTTTTATTAAAACAATCAATTTTTTTTCAGATTGTATGCTATATATATTTCACAAGAATTATTGTGTATCTTTTAAAGGTAATTTTTCTAAAATATATAATTATAAGTAAATTTCACTTTTTATAATTACATATTTGAGAGTTGTTTGGGAAATAAGTTGCAATTTGACTACAAAAGACAAAAACATTTTGGGCATTCTTTTATTGTCAAAGTTTGCTCATGTATTTACCTAGTTTTTAATGTTTTCACCTCAAGGTTGATAAACTTTTTGTATCATCATACAAATCTTTTTATCCCTTTGTCACAGAAGTTTTCTGCAAAATACTTGAGTAATCTTGCATGGCTAATCATCTTTTCTTTGCTGTATTCCTGCTAAAAGTGCAGAAACATATGGAACTTGGCACCATGTCAAGGCTAAAAGTTGGTTGATGAAATATTTTCTTTTAGAAGTGTCAAGCAAAGGGCTTATTTGAGCAGCAGTATGTGGTCATGAATTGTTATGAAGTAAACTCTGTAGGCATTATTTGCTTTGAATAGTCTATCATAATTTTTCAAGATCTTTTGACTTCATTTACATTTATTGTTGCTCTATGATTGAAGAATTCAGTCTAAAAACAATGACCTTATCTCTCGAGTGAAGATTTTTGATCATGTCATTTTCTGATGTGATTGCAAATGTCTGATAAATTTTAAAATATAATATGTTGGATGATTCATTCTTAGCATCTAGGACAATGTACTGATAAAACTTGATATTTTTCTTTTCATCTGAGATGGCTGACTGCATGATTGGAACTTTTCACTCTCTCCATATTTTTATTTTATAATTGATTTTAGAATTTTCAATATCTAATAACTATTAAACTAAATTCTTAATGATTATTTAACTTGTTTATTTTGTTTAAACTATATATAAGTAGTCTACTTATGAAGAAATCAGGCTATTTTTAATCTCTAACATTTTTTTGAAGTTGGTTCTGTTTCTTATATTATAATAATTAATAATTTTATTTTTTTTTAAAAAGTTCAAATACCAAAAATATTGATTTTTGTTTTAACTATAAAATAGTAACATTAATTAGCAAAGTAACAAAAAAATAAGATTTCAAATATGCAATTTATTTCTCTCAGTAATTGTTATGTTTGTTTATAAAATATCTTAAACAAAATAATAACTATTTTATTAAGTGAATAGTTTCAATAAATTAATTTTTAATCTTTATCATCATAATTTGATACATTATGAGATCAGTTTTAATTAGAATTATAAAATTTTATTTCATCCTATTATATTTAAATTCTTAAAGTACAAAGCTGCTTTCTTCATAAAACAATTTTCTAGGTACAAGTTGTCCTTGACCTTCATACAACTCACTATTATATATGATACTTCAATAACCCTAAATTGCATTTTATATGCCAAATTTGTGCTTTAGGATATAATTGCAAGGTCCATATAGACCTGGAAAGTCAGGGAATAAGATTTTTTTTAGCAGAGAGAGTCGGAATCCGCAAATATTGTGGAATTCATCTGTCATGCTTGCTTTTTTTTTTATTGGAATATGTCTTTAAATTTGGTTCAGTAAAGGGAAATCTACAAAAACTGGAGCAACCGAACAAAAATGGCAAAATTTGTTGTGCTTATATCTCATAAACTATAAATGATAATCAAATGATTTACATTTTGTTGGATAGAAGATTTATGTTCGTATTTAAAATGGTGGGTAGCAGTTGTATGTGAACACTGAAAATGCAACAGAATGCGCTGTTTGGGCAGTGAAACTTTGGATGATGAAGAGATAGGACATCAAAATCAGTGTCAATTTGTACAGAACGACAGGATCTACAATATTATTTAGCAATAATAACTGACAAAATAGAATTTGTTAAATTATAAGCCTAGTTTGTCCAAGTCAAAGAAAATTTCATAACGTTGAAGAAATTGCAAAGGAAATATGAAAAGACATGTAAGAAATATATATCATTGGAAAGAAAAATTGAAAAGGAATCAGAAAAGCCCAGAATGAGTAATGCCAAACAATGCAGATTGTATAGAGAGTATAAGAAAACCAAGCACATGAACTCCGATGTGAATATTTTAAGTGCGCCTCTGCCCGAACAGATATATATTGACTTGGAATGTCATTACCACCAACACTATTTGGTTACATCTTATCCTTTCTCTAATAGCACAAAGATGGATTCACACCTTAAATGATTGCAATTGTGTCCATACACAATCCTCCCAATTTTTTTGACCTGCATGAAGTTTGATTAACCCATGCAGTCAGTTGATTTCATGGGGGCAACAAAGAACTGTCAGTCAACTTAATGATATTGTGTACGGGACATTTTGGACTGCATGGCAGACCTCACACAATTTATATAGTTTTATTTGTTGTATTTTTCACTGCAGGCCAAATACAGTACGTGGACTGTATATGGCCTGCAGTGCATCTGTCAAAATCCTGCCAATTTTGACAGATTGATGATCTGTGATTTGTCTTTTCTCTGAATGCAAATTTTCATCTTCAGATGGCCTGCAGAATTTTGCAAGTATACCAAAATATCACCATAGATTTAAAATCAGATCTTCACCATTGACAATGACCCACTTTCCTGCCAAAATTTCACTGCTTCCATAATAAATTTTGGAGAGGGATGAGGAGAAATTTAATGGGGAATAATGTCATAATTGGTCAGGGAATTACCTGTATTGACCTGTAATACAAAACCAACAGAGAGCATCACCATGTGATAAATCAAAATTTATTTATTGTCTTTTTGACAAGACTATGTCTTGTGTATAAAATTGCATCAATGGCTGCCCACCTTAGAGGTATGAAGGAGTATGTGTCAGGAGTTGCAATTTGGCACAGAGTATTAGGTGCCCAAATCACGCGCACATAAAAAAAACTAGACTTATAGGTACTCGGGACCAAGAACCACAAGAACCAAGTCAAAATAAAATACAAAATGGCGACACTCTTTCTACAAACAGGCACTAGTGCAAGAATTGTGCATGCGTTGCCCATAGGGAAGTTGGAAATGTGAACGTTGCAAAAACAAATTTTGACAAACAAATCTTTGAAAAAAGCCCATTTACCAGTCCCATGTTGTTCCTGACATATCTCTAGTCGCAACTTGCTGACCTTGACAATTGACCCAAGATATCTCGTTTCAGCATTGGAACGTTTTTGAAACTAGATGATGCTAGTTATAAGATAATTTTATATTAAAACTAACTTCCGAAATATAATTTTTTTTTTTTGTTTTTACATTTATTATATTTATTTTGTTCGTGCAAAATAAATAAATAATTTTGGATGATATGATAGCCACAATTTTTTTTCAGAAATGGGAAATTTTTGTTAGGCATTGACAAAAATTTAACCAGGAGTGACACACAATGGAGAGAAATTTCAACATTGGATAGGTTAATTTAATCAAAAAGGCATTGTGGATGACCTTTTGGCTGTGGCTGTGGCTGGCAAAGTTTGAACAATTGTGCTCAAAACCAGTGATATCAAAGATGATCAAAGAGATTATGGCAGCAACAAAGCCTGCCATAATCTACACCAGGACTCCAAGTACTGGTGTCAACTTTCCTCATTGGAGAGTGCTCATTTTTCTCTTTTTCTTAGAAAATGGGTGTGCAGTTGAGTGCTTCGTCTCCGAGACATGGTCTTGTCCCAAAAATGGCTTTGGCGTTTTACTTATTTAAAATTAAAATATTGATCCAATAAAAGTATTTATTGCATTATATTTAAGGAACAATATAATTTTAAATTTTATTTCCAAAATTCTATGTTTATTTCTTAAGTTTTCTAGAAATTTTATGCCATAAACTTATCAAAGGATTTTTTAAAAATTTTTATTAAATTTATTTCTGTTTAATCTATGGTTTAAAATTTATAAAAATGATGTTTTACATTTAATAACATATTCAGTGTAATAAAGTAAAACTTTTTACCTTAATAAGATGTTTTATAAATTTTCTTTATACACTGTGGGAACAGAACTTTATAACAAGCAGTTCTACTGTTCAAGTTTTGAACATTGACTTTTGTACACATTTTTAGGAATGCATTGCATCTGAAAGTTGGAGACTACCTGTAATTATATTTTCCATTTTTACAAATTCTTTGCTTGAATATTATATATTTTCAAAACTGTTGCAGATTGGAAAGTTATTCATTGATAAATTTGATTGATTTAATATATTTTCCATCATAAAAATATTTTTTGTCTGATCTGAGAAATTCATTTCTGAATTTCCAAAAGTATCAAATCCAAAAAATAATAATCACAGAAATGAGCAAAGAAACATTACTTTTAACTAATTTAAAAATGTTTACCACATTTAAGTTAAGTGTTTTCTTAATTGAATTTTTATAAATTCTCATTTAATTTAACAGTAAAAGGTTTAAATGATTTAATATTTATCTTTTAGCTTAAAGTGAAAAAATTTAATACAATTATTATAACTCCCAATACAATTATTTTGTTTAATAAAACTGTTACAAATATTTTAAAATAGCTTTTAAAAATAGGAATTAAAATAAATATTAAATATAGTTTCTTCAAAGTGAATGTCCCTCGGTTTCTTCCCACAGCATGTCACTGAGTACTTTTTATAACAATCATCAAAAGGGTCATGTGCAATTTTGACCATGCTTTTTCTTGTTTTGTTGTAGACTTTGAACTTTTGTAGAGAGAGGGGGACATTTTTCTTTTTGGACATTAAATCAGTTTAACATTAAACATTGCACCTTCTTTTCTTCTGATCTAGCTCAACAGTTTTATATCTAAACTCATTCTTAATTCTTTCCATAACTGCACTATCACAATAACAAAACTGTAACCATTTATTTAATGATTATAGGTTTGTTATTCTAAACTCATTTTCATTTATAACTTTAAATATAGCAAAAAAAGAAATGTTAGAAAAAATTTTCTATGTAGTATAGGGTGCCAGTAATAGTCTGTACATAGTATGGTAGTTAATAAAATTGAATATACTAATAATAATTTTTAAAGTTGAAAACATAGTTTTTACACTAAGACATTCCATTTATAAAATATTTTTTGCTTATTTTCATTGTTTAAGATCATTGTCATATATTTTAAATATGAATGTGATGATCTCACCATAATTTAGGATTGAAATCATCTGTTTGAATAAAATTGGCAAAATATTAAATAAATTATAATTTTGATTAATTATTGTATCGTTACAAAAAGTATTGCAAAATATTTTTGGTAGCATATAAGGTCTTTAAAAGTAGAGTGCATTGCAAATTTGAAGTAATGCAGTTTGTCTTCTTTGATGATTTTTCCAAAAGCACTTGAGACATAATCAGTAAACTATTATATAAAATGCAAATTTTAAAGTTTTTATATTTAATGGAATTTATTATCTACAAGGACAAAATTTTATATAAATAATATATTTAATAATGAAAACAACAGCGTGATGATTAATTTTATTTTTTGTTATATAATTAGATTATTATTTTACACACACTTTTATTATATAGTGGAATCTCGCTTAACGAGCACCTTGCATAATGAGCAAACAAATTGTAAAAAAATGACTCGCTTAACAAGTGACATTTTGCATAACGAGTGATGAGGAGAGGGGAAGTCCTGGATTGTGCACATGCTCCATTGGTCGTGTTTAGCACTCATTCCACTAGCATCTTAGTGTTGCTTGTGATCACACATTTTTCCAAACTTGTGTTCGGTCATATTATGTATAAACATCAACAACCATAGCCTGTTATATAATAAACACACCAAACAATATGAAAAATTATTGGACTATGTAAAGGCTATAATTAAATATTAGAAATTAATTAATTATAGCCTTTACATAGCCCAAGAATTTTGCATATTGTTTGGCATGTTTATCAGACATATTATCTAAATTTTTTTTCCCGCAAATTGAATTTGCATTCCAAGTTGGTTCATTCCATGCTAGAAGAAAAAATGATGATTATTCATGTTCCTTAACAATGTATATTGTATAATTTTCATTGAATAAACGTTATACATAAAATATTTGAGTATTTTTTCTGGCATGGAATGCATTACTGCATTCCATGCCAGAATTACTGCATTCCAAATTAATGTAAAATACATGCGTATTTTACATTAATTTATGTGGGAAAAATTGTTTTGCATTACGAGTAAGATTCTGGAATGAATTATGTCTGTTAAGCAAGGTTCCACTGTAATTAAAAAATTATATTAAATTGATTAATCTTTTTAAATAATGAAGAACCTGTGAACATCTTTATTTCAGTTTTTTTGTATATTATAAAATTAAAATACTTCTACTATATTTTAAAAATTAATTCAATAATTGATGATCTTTGATTAACTACTAAGAATATTTGGTCTGACAGTTTCATTTTTTCAGATGTTTTTAAATTTATTAGAAAGAGGCAAAAATGTAGTAAAATTAAGGTCTATTTAACATGATTATTGTGTTTATAGTACTTATATTTATTTATTTACTGTTATGATTATTAAAGGAGTAATTTTTACATGATAGGTCATTTACTGAATTTGTTAAGTAATAAAAAGTATGTAAAATATTCATAAATGTTTTTACTGTAGATTACAGTGCCTTTTCAATATGAATGGCTTGATGAACTTTTCCGTGAAGTTGCAACATTAATTTTCTTTGTTCTCACTGGATATAACTTTCGACCAACAACCAGTAATCCTTACTTCCGTCTTTCTCAAGATGATTATGAAATACAAATGGATGAAGTGTAAGTTATGAAATTTAAATATGTAATAAGACTGTTTAATAATAATAATAGTATATATTAATATATATCATAAAAAATGCAATCTTAATTTGTTTAGATACTTATTTGTGTTTTTCTCAAAATTTTTGAAACTTTTATATATTGTAAAATGCATTTATTAATAATTAGACCCTTTCTTTCTCATTAAAAAAAATAAATATGTACACAGCTTTTTACATAGATATTTTACAACAGCATACTGTTGTAAAATATCTATTATTCAGTAAAAATCAGTTATTTTACAACAGTATGCTGTTGTAAAATAACTTTTTTAATAAGTATTTCATTTCTCACTATGTAAGTTTATATAAATCTTTGTATTAATGTATGTATGCTATGAGCATTGCTTCGCATGTTTATTACATGTTATCAATTTTTCAATATAGGCCTACAGTAAATATTTATTTGTTTCAAGAGGATTGCTTCTTTCTAATAAAGAGGATACAAATAATCAAAAATATGTTATGGAAATATAAAATATATATTAAATTTTTTACATATTTTTCTTAAATTTTTTTTCTGTACTTTGATTCACATGCTATAATTGTTATATGATTATAATAACAAATATCTGGCTAAAAAGCTAGTTTTAGTGAATTTGGCTTTTTTCTTTCCTGGCTTTTTCACTGATTGCCAAAGGAAAAGTTTGGCAATTAGTGAATGGGGAAGGGTCATTTTTTTCAAATGACCCTTTCCCAGATTTTTACATTTTTGACCTGGGGCCTTGAAATGTTGAGAAATACAAACAAAATTTGGGGGGTTTTTTGTGTATGTATGGATGATAGTGTGTATTTTTGTGGAGGGTACAATTTTGTTTACCCTTTTTGAAGCTAAATAACTTCCATGCTTTTTGTTGAAATTTTCTGAAATTTTGCAGGTAGGTTTGTGTATTGGGGAATTGATGCTATTAAATTTTGGTGGTTTAAGGTCGAAAGGATGGGGAGATAGAGGGGTGTGATATCTTGAATAGGATCAGACTTAATGATGATTTTAGTCATTATTAGCATTTACAATTTTTGATAAAACCCATTCCTACTCTCAAAATTAAGCTTTGCCATTTTATAATAGTTAAAAAAACTAAAAAGTTCTTTTTAATAAAACATTGTAACAGATAGACAAAAAAAAAAAAAAAAAAGTGCTCTATATTTACATATATATGGTGCTATCACAATGTAGTGGTAAACGTGGGAAATTTTTAAAGAATTTTCCCATGCGTTTTTCTCATTTCCATTTTGGAAAAAAAAATTTAAACAGTTATGTCTAGTAAAGAAAAAAAATCTTTCTTTATTGTCACATAATTCCTTTTTATGTGAATTTTTTTTTGCGGTAATTTTTGGCTAAAATTTTTTTGCAGATATTGACGTCATTCTCCAGTGCCACGTGATCTCTCTTGACGGGTATATCTGTTGATCACTGCAGAGTGGCTAATTAAACATACAGTAACCTACAATTAACTTTTGTATGACTTATAGCAAAATGTGTCTGCAATTGGAAATGATTTTGGTTTACCAATCTTAGTAAAAAATTTCACTTAAATACACTATATTTATAATACACACAGCAAGTGTAGTGTGCATTCATTTTGTTTAGGTATTTCTATCACAGATACATAAGAACAAAGTTGTTGATTATGATGCAAACTTGTGACAAGAAAAAGCATAGAAAGTATTAATTTTCATTACATCTATAAAATCGTATTTTTAAAATTCAATAGTCATTTCAGTATCTAATTGCCATCTGTTAGATGCTAGTTAGCATCTAACTATTAAGTATAGATAGTATACATAGAAGAGACTGTCTTCATTTTTTTGTCATGTCCAATCACAGGACGAACTGTCTTCCACTGCATAGATGACATTTTATTACTACCTATTAATTATAGATAGAATTAATTTTATTTTCAGAATCACTCAAACAGGATTAACAGAAGGAGTTGTGAAGACCCGCTCTCGTGGCAATAATGCGGAAGAGTCAATAACTGCAACGACCAAGAGAGAGAGTAGTCATGAATATGACTGATCAACATTTTTTTTAATTTAAAGTTAAAAACTGTACATATGTATCATGTTATCTTACTCGCTATCATATTTTGGTTTATAAATTTTTTTAATTTAAATAGTACTTTTAGATATCTTCCATATTGTAAATTAAATAGTAAAGAATTAATTCAGATATCTTGCTCTCACTAAATATTACTGTATTAGTAACACAATTTCACTGTAAATTATTTATAAGTATAAAATATCTTTTTCTTATTTTTATGTTTTTAGGACCAAATGAACTTATAAGATAACAGCGATATAGAATAAACATGTGATAGTGAATACATCCAATTTAATTTTAGAATTTATATAGTAACCAAATTCATTTTTTTAATGGTAACTGGTAAATGTATTTCTGTAATATTTTTAAAAGATATTTTCCATATAAGAATACATTTATCTTTTTTTCCCTTTAACTTCAAATGCTGATCTATAGTTTAAAATGCTGGCTATGATAACTTAATGATATGAAAATATTTCTTACTTTTGTTGAACTTTATCATTGATGTTTATATTTCATAAAAATTTTATTTTTTAATTGGAACATTAAAAAACTAAAACTTTAAGTTTAATTTTTATTATTATTTCAGATGTTTAATGTAAAATTACACTTCACTAAATTATTCTTTAAGCATTTTAATTTGTGCTACTTTATTGTAAATTAATTTCATTTGATTGTCATCTCCTCTAACCATTTTTAATATAAATTTACTTGGAGTGTAAACTTGTAAAATGGATTTGTAAGCTTAAATGTGTTTTAAAAGCAGAAAATAATGATTTCATAAAAAATAGTTTAAAGATGAAAACTTGAGGAAGAGTAAAAAGTTTTGTAATTTAAAATATTGGATAATGTGTCATGATTATCTATCAAGAATTGGAAAGCATCATCGTAGAAATATACTAACATGCACAATTGTCAGAATTAAATTTGTCTTTATTTGATATTTTCTTCATAAATTTTTAATATTAAATTACTCTGTTGTAAGTATCTCTTTCATTTTACTCATAAACTGTGCAATAGTAATCTATGTACAATTCTTATATAGTATTATTGAACTTTGAGTAAGAATAAAATGAAATTCATAATGTTTCACCTTGATAAAACTTCTCTTCTGGTATACTCATATTATATTGAATTAAAATAAATTTTTATTCTGTTACATTCTTTACACTCTTACAGAATATATTTATTATATATGATAAGGCTTATAATGCTGATAAATTAATAACAGGAAACTCTGTTATAAACATGCACCTCTGAAAAAAATTAATGGTATGTTTATATATACAAGCATTTCATTTAGATTTTTATCAATGCTTTTTGGATCAGAAAATTGAAGAAAGTATTGAAACTAAAATCAACTTTTTGTTATAAGATATATTTATATGAATTGTCTGAAAAACAGTAGCTACATTTCACCATAAATGAATAAAAGTAAAAAAAGAGGTTTTTCTCCACTTTTTCAATATTTTAATATGCTGTAATTCTGTTTACTTTATTCTTGGATTACTTATACATTATTCATTCCCAACACGTAAGTAATGAATCTTGTTTAAATTTGTTGAAGGATTTGATGTCTGGATTTTTTTCCCTTCAAAGACAAAATATTACTTTAATTGGGCTACAATTTGAAAAAATTGTAGACCTATAAAATATTTCAACTTCCATCTGTTGTTTATCCTTATTCTAGAGAACGGAGTTAGTTAGATGAAATCCAAGACCAGTTATGTAAACTTTGGGGTAGGAGGCCCCATTTATCTATATACGAACTTATCTGATGCAAACCGTAAGTCACGTTATTTCAATTCCAATGACACTGTTGTTAAAGGAAAAGTGTGATATACAGAAGCAAGCCACTACTAATTTGAGGTGAGAGCATATATATTAAGTTAATTAAAAATATGATTAAAGATTGCAGCCCGGTGTTGTGGCAATGTTACAACAAATAATTGTTCGTATGATGATTCTGTTTATTTTCCCCAATTTAATTGATTGAAATATTTGACTCTTCTTCATACATCTTGTATAATTAACTATTTATAGACTCATTAATGAATATGTAACAAGGATAAATCTTAATTCAGAAATGCATTATGATGATAAAATGTGAAAATATTGAATTTGACAAACTTGTAGGAATTTATGAAAAATATATATCATCTTTACAAACAGACAATGGTCTATTTGCAAAGATGGTATATATTTTTCATAATAAATAAATATATATATATTTAATATATATATATATACCAAATTTATAATAAATATATATTTTTCATAAATTGAAAGTTATTGGAAGTTAAACCAAACAATTATGACTGTTCAGCAGACTCACTACTTCAGTAGGGAAACAAATGTTCCTAAACACCTTTTAGAAAAGCACTACTACAGAACGTGTTGTGACTTCATTTACGCTATCTTCGGATATCTATAATTGATAGCTGCATCCACACAATAAATGTAGTCAATATTATTAATAATTAATACACTCATACTTATCAGCTACTATAGAATAAAAACATACATGCAAAAGTAAAGGAGGTTTAAAAATGAATTTACTATAATCAAAAACTTAAAACACATTTAACTATTTTGTCAAATGTTCTTAGTGTATGGAAACGAGCAGAAACAACTATAGCGCCACTATTTTCTGGCATAACTTAATTCGAATTATCATTCAGCACGTACTATACCTCAGCTCTACTAAATCTATTGAGTGTGCCGAATGTTGCCAACGTGTTCGTATGTTGGTGGGTAAGTTTTATACTATACAAACAAAATGGAACCATAACAGGCAAAGAGTTAATCAAACTTTATCATCTGTTTTCTAGTTTTCAGCTGTAAATTGTATTCTCTATTATTAGACTTAAGATGCACCCGTATTCAGGTTCATAATTGACGTTTGGTAATATCTTTCATACGGTGAATACTAATTATTGTCATCTACAGTATAGTATGTTCTTGCTTTGTGCAGGAGTTTTGTGTCGGCAGATAACGCGTAAAACGAAATGTGTCTTCATCCTATGTAGTCTCAGATGATTATGTAGAGTCTCAACCTGCGGCCCGCTGGGCTTTTGTGAGTGGCCCGGACATGAAAGAGAGCGGAAAATAATTACGCTGACTTCTGGAAATAATTACCACTTCTGGAAAGTAGTGCCCGATCAATATAAGACTGTAAAAAATGTGCTTAAATTTCACTTACGTTGTTCGCATCAATGTATGTATCTATGTGAAACGTCATACTCAAAAATTAAATATGCAAAGAACATATATAGAAACTGGCTTACTGATTCACACCTGGATGCCGTTTTACGAGTAGCATGCAGCAGTTACAAACCTGATTTAAATGAATTGACAGCCGAGCGGTCAAGGTGGCAGCCTACCGCTCTGGATCGAATCCGGTCGGGTCAGGAAATCCCCCAGGGAATTTTTCGGGGAGTGGTCCGTTCGGATATGTCGGGCCCCGTCTCACCACCTGGTCGCCCACAATGGTGCCTGCTATAAGGCCCTCTTAGCGCCCACAGGGCGAAAAGAATATTAAAAGAAAAAGATTTAAATGAAATTGTGAAAAAATGTTCGCAATATCAACAGTCACACTAAATTTCTAGGGTAAGTGAGAAATTAAGCAAGTTTTTTATTATAATTGTTATGTTGCGGCCCGCGTGTAATAGCTATCATGTTTATGTGGCCCGAGAGAAAAAAAGGTTGAGTATGGTGGGTCTAGACCATTGTTTTTCAAACTTTTTGCTTACTCGACCCAATATACTTGATTCCGCGACCCAAATGTTTGTAATATAAAAATTGTTTTTAAAAACCTGGTAAATTGGGGTCACTGTATACTATATACAGTATTGCTGGATACCCGAAGCAAAATATTAAAATGTGCTTAAACATCTTAAATTATATTTTTGTTATGAGTAACATTTTAATCCGATGTTTCTGAATATGCAGAGCAATAGCGAGTTTCATTACTTGAGAAAGATACACGCTAACCAGCGCATTCACTACAGCGAGTAGCTTTCGGCAGTTCTCTGTGTGAAAATCTCAGGAGCTGGAGAAGTAGGGTTTACTGACAGTTTCGGTGGCATTAAGAATGTGCCAACCTAACCATTCGCTATCAACAAAATCACGAATCTGTGTATAAAGAAGATCCTACTGTAAATGCATTTTTCTGATAAATATTTAATGTATTAGGACATTTCGAAAAATACTTATAATCTCGTACAGTTTTCTGATGTTTTGAAGATCGACACGAAAAAATTTCACTTAAAACACTGATAGCACCTGGCTTTTCAGCCAATCTTCAGTAACAAAGCAGTTGTGACCTCACAATGATTTTATCATCCTGAGCAGGCTGGAAAAACGAGTATACTACGGTTTAAGTAAAATTTTTTCATGTCTATCTAAAAAAACTGAAAACTATTAAGCCTAGTCTCTATATTACCGGAATCCGCGACGAAATCGTAAAACTGAAAGTCAAATTGACGAAACTTTCAGTTTTGGAACGTTCAGTTGGACAAGACTGAAAGCAGAATTAAAAATTATTTAACTTTTCCGTTTGCGTTCCGCGCTTCTGTCGTACTGCAACCAATAAAAACGCGTAGTTTGAATGTCGTAATGGCGGAAAGTGTAGTGAAAAGGTTGAGGAAACAAATAGATTTGGAATTATTTATAGAAGTTAGAAAATGCAAATGTCTGTACCACAAAGAATGTAAAGAATTCAAAGATACATCATTGAAAAACACAATATGGACTGCGATTGACGTGAAATTTGGATTGAATGGTAAGAAAGTTTGATATACTTCATTGAACTCCTAAAGTGGAATCGTTTAATTATAAAATATTTTAAATAGGAAACGAAGCAGAAGTGGAAGGTACTCGATCTCTACAATAGCGAGAAAAAAAAAAAAGATTCGGGAGAATTCAGTCAGTGGTAGCGGGACAAAAGATTGGAGTAATTTTTGTTAATATCTACAATCCTTTGTAAGTACTTTTATAATAACTACAACAGGAAAGTAAGGTTAGTAGAAAGCTTGTATTTTAAAACAATTTCTATCAAATCATCTTATAAGAAATTGCCAGTCTAAGTTTTTGCATTGATCCGAGGCTAGTGCAAAAACAGATGCTACAGTTAATTTAATTAATATAAAACGCGATGATAGTTGTTTAGTGCAATAAATGGATGCAGAGGAATCGGCACTCTTCTGTATATTCTGTTTAAAGTTGCCGCAAATTTTGTGACATTGTGTCAAAAATCTAGACACGACAGGAAACTTCCGAACTGTTTTGTTATATAGGACAATGATTTTCTAACTTGTAAGATCAGGTCTGTACAGTCATAAATCATATTATTTAGTTTAATTATATTAATGATTTGTTTTCCGAAGAAATTTTTGACTAAAATGAAAAGCGAATTTACTTGATTTTACATAAAAATCAGTATTTTTGCAATTGTTTTAACATTTTAATCGACGACATTCGAAGATGTGAATAGTAACAAGAAACTGAATGGTTTGAAAACCGACTAACAAGTAAGATTTATTTTTAGTGTATAATTTGCACCGGATTTATAGTGTCACTTGATACTGAAATACAGTAGAGCGTCGTTTATCCGAAAGTCGGTTATCCGAAAGAATTCCAGTCGGCTAATTTAAATTTTCGCTTGTGCTGTGGCGCTGAAATCTTTGGCTATATCTTGGGCGGCTACAATATTTTTTTTGTTGATGTGTGTGTTTTAGCTGGCAGCACTGGCCTTTTGTGTGGTGTTTTTCTGAGGACTGTGTATCGCGCTGAATCGAACGTTTTTGATACTAGATTAACTTCTAAAGTATAATTTTTTTTTGTTTTTATATTTTTCAATATATTTATTTTGTTTGTAAAAAATAAAGAAAAAATAATTTTTAACGATACAATAGTCTTCGTTAGGCTTAACATCGACGAAAATTCAACGCGAAGCGACCCGCAACGGAGAAAAATTTCAACATGGGATAGATTAATATTTTTTTCGTACACAATCGGTTATCCGAAAAATAAGATCCGAACAACCCCAGTCCCCAATTGATTCGGATAAACGACGCTCTACTGTAATTGTAAATTGACAAATGTCTTCTTGATTTAACCAGGAATTCTCATCCAGTTTCTTGTTCAATCATGACGATGAATTAATGCATTATTCCTCATTAAGAATAATAATAATTTCTCAAGTCTCTTCTTATTAGGAAGGATCCACGGTTCCAAACACTTTTTACTAGATTTGGTTTGTTTTGGTGGTTATATTTTTATACAGTAGATTTTAAATACCATTCGTAATAAAATTAAATTGTTATATATATATATATAAAGGAATTGCATGTTAACGTGACTTTCATCTTCTGTTCAAAAATGGAATTTCATAGAATGTGTGTGTGTCATCGTGTTACGTCTCAAATGGAAACTGGATATAACATTTTTATAACCGATTTCTAGTCATCACGCTATGATTTGAACGAACAACTGGAATCATTGTAGATAGCGAAGGAAGATAAATTGCCTTAGTGTGTGAAAATCCTGCGGAATTTTCTAAAATACCTACTTGTCAACAAGATTGTGTCAAAGTACTGTACAAGTATCCTGACGAATCATTTTTCTTTGGAAAGATTCGCTTCACTATCACGAAAGTTCAGTTTTTAATTAAATTGAATTCGGTTTTGAATTTAAAATTATTATATTTTGATATCACGAAATATCACACCGGTTATATTGTTCGATATATGGCTATTTCCGTCAAGGACGTTTTTACAATATATCGAAAATGCGCCTCATTATACGAAATTCAATAGGTAACAACAGTGGATTAAAGTAGTGAAGTGTCGTGATGTAGACATGTGTACACGCATAAAACATCTATACATAAATCTAAAAATAATTGATTTCGTTATATTTAGTTCAAAAGTGTTGCCTCGTGAGTATGTTTGCTTTTAGCAAGTTTTTTAGAAATTATTAATCATCCTTGTTAATTATCCGCTAATCTGTCGATTGTTACGATTTTTTTGAGAGAATCAACAGATTAATCTCTCGTCTTTCTGTATATAGTTTAGAGGCAAAAGTGCTACTTTTGTGAAAAATGCACAAAGAAGTTGATTCTCCTTATAGGCAAGATTCTAGCACGAATGCCCATAACTATCCAAAAGTGTAAGAACTATAAGGACCAAGAAATATTAAATTCATAGTTTTAATATATATATATATATATTAAGTGTTCCTAACTAAATATTATGGTAGAGTTCGTTATAAACTTCTAAAGAAATAATTAGTAACTAATAATTCATAGTGACGCTGGTTAATCGGAATAATTCATTTGTTCTTCAGCTTTTTTCTCCCCTCTGGACATTAAGAGGACCCTTTTTTCAGGCACATTGTGATTGGTTTACAGTGCGCGGTAGGAAACAAGACACGACATATCCGGGACAAATCACCCCGAAAAATTCCTGGGGTTAGGCCCTTCCGGATTCATTGCCGGATCCTTCATAGCGATGGAACCTTAACCGCTCGCCATACGGCCATCTTGTTCATAAATTAGCATAATGAAGTAATGTTTATTACTCATTATTTTGAACTAATTCATAAGAATGAACTAATATGGCTGATTATTAGTTCACGATGATAATTACCAATAGGCGTAAATACTGTAGTAAATTCGTTTATGAACTAATGAAGGAGCGAGATTTGTTCATTTTTATTGAAGATTTAAAATTCTTTTTGAAAATAGTTTTTAATTCTTACAAATTGAAATGTGCTTTTGAATTTCTGCAACAAACTTTAGGCAATGAAGGAAGGGAAATAAAAGTTATACGTGATTTTTTTTTTCGATTAAAGTATCCAAGTTTCATGGCGACGCGAATTAGTTTTATTTGAAATTTAAAAAATTCCATTGGGGAATTATTTCTCTTTAACGGTTCTTTTCTACTAAATTGTTCTTGATGACTGACCGTCTCGGGAGAATTACTGTTATGGTTTGGTTGTTATGACGACAAAACCTCCAAAATGGCGGTCGATTTTTTAGAACTGTTTTTTTTTTTAGAATCAATGGAATGGTCTACAGCGTTTTTTCGGTATCATCGATTGTCGATTCGGCAAACGAGATAAAAATGTCACAGACACTTTGTTGTTTTCTTTTATTTTTTATAAAGGTTACACCGGAGGAATAAAACACCACAATCTGACGTCACAATGGGCCGGATGGAAGCGTCGACTCCACTTTGCTTAAGAGGTGAAAAGCGTCGATTTAATTTACATAATTTAATGACATCGATAAAATTAAAGAGGATATTCGAAAGAAAAAAAAATGTTAAAATGGAAGATGATTCGAAGCAATTATTTTTTTGAATTTTATCCAAATTGTATTTGACTTTTTTTTGGCTTGGAAATTTTTTTAGAGCGGAAGAATCAAAAAATATTCGTTCTGTAATCTGTACCGATGTACAGTACAGTTGGAGTATCGAAGACAAATTAACGTCGACCGTCGACGTTCTTTTTAAAATACAACAAAATGCAAAAATGTCTCTAATTTTAAGCGAGTCCGGATCAAGGCACACGTTCCAGATTGCGAGTGCTAATATACATATTTTTTCTTGTTTTTTTAGATGCGGTGCTTAATGTGGATCAAGGTGCGTAGAGGGAAAGTGCTCGAACTATTTTTGGATCTTGTTTAGAACCTTCCTTGAATTCGTCCATGGAGAGTTTGTTGTCTTGGTTCTGTTTTAAAAAAATGGCAAAAGTTTTATTGTTTATAGAACTTTAAATCTTACTGTTGATCCTCGATATAACGGGTATCGGGATGTAATAATGGATAATGACGGCATGTTCTATGAATCAGTCGAAGTGCAATTACCGTATTTGAGAAAAATCAAGTAGGGTGAATGTCCTCTAGATAGCGCGTTTACGTTCCTGCCAGTAGTGTAGTACTTAGTCTGTATTGTCGTAAATACGGGAAACGTCTCCTATTACATTGGATATAAGGAAGTACTTTACATTAGTAAAGGGGGCTATGGTCTATAGTCCGTTGTATCGAGGATCAACAGTATACAGTTTACACGATGTAACGCTCATGTGGTACAAAATGCAGTAGAGTATGGCTAACTTTCTATTAACTAAATACATTTAATGTAAAGTGATGACTGTTTCAGGTTAAAGTTGGTATCGTTTTAAATTGATAGAAATTTAATAATTAACTCAAATAAGTAAGTTTTATTGTATATGTAAGGTGAACATTATTTTAAGTGAATAGGCCTATAAATTTAGAGAAAAACAGGAATCTAAGATTCAGGTTACATTAAAATATAATTAGTTTCTATATTAACTGACTGAATCATTATACAATAAATGTATTTGACTTACACAATAATAATAAAATTTCATAGACAAAGTGATTCATCTTTCAAAGTAGTAAATAAACTTTATATACATAAATTGCATTAAATAATTTTATTTTCAAAATTTAAACGGCATTGTGGTGCAATGGGTAATTTACGAATTGTGATTCACGATGAGAATTCGACTGTCTTTACTTTTCAGGAAAATGTTGGAATAATTGTTAACATATATAAGGACAGAGTATTAGTAACACAAAGTTCATAAATGAAAAGAGTTATTATAGCAGTAAATATGCAAGCGGCGTGTCTCTCTGATGAATAGAGTAATTTTGGTTAAATTAGCTCGGGATTATTAAGTATTTATTGAAAGATTTTTCAATTTAACAGAAACGACAGAAGACTTTTTCAAATTTAAAAAGAAAAAAAATAATTTTCAAACATCAAAGACTTCATTTTTTGTATAATTACACCTATCATTGTTAGTACCATGAAAATACCGTGTATTATAAACGCGAGGTATCATAATAATATAGTTTGTGACGTTTTTTTACTTGCATTTTTACCATATCAAGAAAATTAGAACTGATACTACTTTTTGTAATCCTTCTGTATTGAAAAAAGGGGCCAGAGATGATTTTAAAAAATCATAAAATTATCATCAATGAATATCAAGTATTATGGAAAAGAAAAAATTCACCTTGTCTAACTGTTCGAAAATTTTGTCTACTCTTTCCTTAGGAGACAATTCCTCCTCCTCTTCCTCTTCCTTTGGTTGACTACCCTTTAATGCATAAAATGAACAAATAAGTAACGTTTATTTCCATAAAATGGCAGTAAAAAATGACAAACTCACCAGCATCTGATAGATAGCATCGACGATATTATACATTTCTTCTCTAGTTATGTAGCCATCGTTATCCACATCGTACAACTTAAAAGCCCCTGAAATACCATTAATAATTATTCATATTGAAGACGATAAACATAGTAATGATTAATCGATAAGAATTGTAAATAATATATAGGCCTATATACTCGATTCTAGGTATGTGAATTATACATTATGATTTAAAGCAGGTGTGTCAAACTCATTTAAACAACGGGCCATTAATGCGACTGGTAAGATTCACGCGGGTCACATCACATTTACAAATTTTCTTAAAATTATAATTTGAAGTGATGATGCAGGAATATAAATAGGGCAATTGAAACACACTATGTAGTTTAGTGAATTCAACTCAACAATATATAATTGCTATAGTATTGCTTTTATTTAAAAAATTATTTAATGTACATATTTATAAAACTAAAATTGTTTTCACCGGAAATTTGCAAGTGCTATCTTCCTCCTCCTATTTTTCCAATATCTGGATTCAAACAAAGACTGAGAACAAACAATCTTCATTATGGCAGATAGATGTTTATCAGTTAATCTTGATCCGTAAGCCGTTTTCTTTAATTTCAGAGCATCGTGGCCGCGGGCCACGAAAAATTACATTGGGGCCGCATGCGGCCCGCCAGTTTGACACCCTTGATTTAAAGTCTCCATACAAACAGACCACCTGGATATATGTGGTATGAAATGTATTCATTACAGAAATGTTAACTAGATACTTTCCAGCCATTCGTGGCAATGCATGTCTGCGTAAGTGAACCCTTGCCTCTGCTTGAAGACTTGAATCATCCTATCATCCTCTATATTCATGTTACGTAGATTATGTTTCTATGAATATGTAAATTATATATATAAATTAGGAAAGATGTATATACAGTATTTAATTAAATACAGACATTTTTCATATAGCTTCTATGGGTATGAAACATACATTACTATTACAATAGTTTATTGGTGCGAGTATTATATCTTTTTTTCTGAGTAGCTTCAAGGATTCCCTTTTGAAGATCATATTTAGGCCTGTAATCATTTACTTGCTACAATAAAGAAACTGATATTCCAAAAGTGTCATCAAAAGACTCTAGAACTACTTTTTTTTCTTTCCCTCCAATTGGATTTCGAGAGAGTATTTTTCTTTTAACGGACACGAATTGATTTTGTTTCTCGTTTCCTAAAAGTTTAGATTTTTTTTTCAGAAGGTTTCTAAAGATATATTTCCAGTATTTTGAGCATTTGCCTAAAATAGTTTTGAGATCCTCTCTCGCTTCTCTCTTATTTATCTCTGAAAGTTTTGCTGTTCCTGAAATTTCTCCATAACATAAATTTTACTTACAAAATTTTTCCGAGAATTTGCAAACTAGCATAAAATAAAACAGCATTTTATGAAGGATTAGTAAAAATTACTTCATAGATTATATAATTTAATTAAAATATTTCAAACAAATAGGCCGGCCGTATAGTTTGCCGTACAAGTACCAATAAATCATTATAGGACAATAAACAATTATAAATGTTTTTGTAATACGTTAATGGAAATGAAATTGAACGCGAAAAGTGTTGTCACCATGTAATGGATGGCCTATTTTAAGCGCGGGGTGTTTCAAAAAAGCAAAAATTTCTTTACAACGACGACGGTAGCGCAATTCTCTGAAAAGTTAAGAAATGTGCCAATTTTCTGAAAAATGGTAGCAATATATATATATATATATATATATATTAAGTGTTCCTAACTAAATATTATGGTAGAGTTCGTTATAAACTTCTAAAGAAATAATTAGTAACTAATAATTCATAGTGACGCTGGTTAATCGGAATAATTCATTTGTTCTTCAGCTTTTTTCTCCCCTCTGGACATTAAGAGGACCCTTTTTTCAGGCACATTGTGATTGGTTTACAGTGCGCGGTAGGAAACAAGACACGACATATCCGGGACAAATCACCCCGAAAAATTCCTGGGGTTAGGCCCTTCCGGATTCATTGCCGGATCCTTCATAGCGATGGAACCTTAACCGCTCGCCATACGGCCATCTTGTTCATAAATTAGCATAATGAAGTAATGTTTATTACTCATTATTTTGAACTAATTCATAAGAATGAACTAATATGGCTGATTATTAGTTCACGATGATAATTACCAATAGGCGTAAATACTGTAGTAAATTCGTTTATGAACTAATGAAGGAGCGAGATTTGTTCATTTTTATNTTTTTAAATATAAAATACAAATCCACAGCTGATACAGGTATTAAAATGAGAAAAAAAGAATACACTGTTTTCCTATTTTTACTTCGAGTGAATGTATTTTTAGTAAAACACAATCGAAAGCAAAGAGAAATAATTGATTTCTGAAGCAAATGTTTTGGTTTCTTTTGAAAGATTTGATTGATTAAGTTTTAACGTAAAAATACATTATACATTTTCAACAATGAGTACATGAGATTTTATCAATCAGCTCTTCAGACAGATTTAAAAAAAATGAGTACAAGAAAATCAATTATTATTTCTTCTTATATAAAAGCGCGACGATATTTTTAATGTTTTACAATTTATTATAAAATTAAATATAGCTATTTAATCATCATTTTATTTGCCTAAATAGAAATTTTATCAAGACAACTTCAAGTAAGTTTTTAACACAGTTTAAAAGCTTTTTTGAAGTTGTCAGAAAAAAGAGAAATTTTCTTTTTAATTCAAGCCGATACGAAATAATTCATTAAGTAGTGTCGAAAAGAATTTTGAAATTAAAAAGAACCGAAAATTTCACGTATTCGGTAACAGAGACCAACTCATACTTACTACATAACCGTGGAAGTTAGTAGTAATGTTAGCCAGTCATTGAACTGGTTACAAAGTAAAAATCACTTCCTCCTCCTCTCACATCATTCCTCACCACCAGAAAACAGCCGTAGGATTTGGGACTCATCACCAAAACCAGGCGTTACAACCAATATTGCCATTCACATTCAAAAAAATTTGGCTTGCGCCAACGTTATTTTTTTTTAAACCTGTCACCTAGATATTTAACGTTTCAGTTTCAGTTTTATTTTTAAAGCTGCATTTATGCAGAACGGAAAGAGGGAAAACGGCAAAAGAAAACTTTTAGAATCAGAATTCCCATTCGTGATGCAGTTTACGCAGAAGAGAAAAACTGAGTTCTCGCGCGTTAGAAGCGAGAAATGAAATGCATAGTTTTCCACGTCCTGGAAAGTTCAGTCTGTTGAAGTATCGTATTTTTCTCCTCTTTCCTGAATTGGTGCATGTTTCCACTCAATAACAATAAAATGGTGACGATGGATCACGCCAGCAACTGTCAAATGTAAAGAAAATGATTTTCTTTCCCCTCTCCTGTTTCACTTCTCTCATATGCATAGACAAAACCTAAAAACACAAACCTCCCTGCGGTTTTGTAGATATCTCCAATTAATGTCTATAGGCTTGGCCGAGACGTTACTCCATTTTATTGTAATGTTTTTGCAGTATTATTTTTCTACCACAAATTTTGCACGCTGAAGTTACGATAGAAGCATCACACATTCCCTTCTACATTTTTGGCAAAGTCCAGCAGCTTCTTCTACGTTTTGTATTAATTTTGAGATGCTCTATTACTTCGTAATTTAAATTGTGATGCTATCTATCAAAAGAGCCAAGATAAGATTTGCCGCCATAAAAAGGTGGTCCGAAGACCCACTTTTTGAGGTGGTCAAATCCTTAGCCCATTCCCGATTACCTATACTCGTGCACTTGTATTTATCTGATACTTTGCATCAATCTATATCTAACTTCTATGTTTTTGTTTACATTCTATTTATTAGTTTCATTTTCACGTATTATTTGTGTCTTTCGGAGAAGGATGGCATCCACATTTAAATCGTAAAGTACCCATCTCACCTCTCTCACACTGTTCTTGATATAATAAAATTTGATTTATCGCCAACATTTTTTCGCTTCAAAATTGACACTAAATCGAGTTTGGCTCTAAACCGCAATATCTCATACAATTATTGCATGATGTACTTCAGTTCAGAGGCAATGAAATTTGAAGTTTGAGCTTCATTTCAGTGCAAAATCATACATTTAGCAATTTGCAGAAGCTGAAGGATTCTCTATTTAATATTTATGGAATAGATTCAGACAGAATGTCATAATTTAGGTTATTATATTCATTCCATGAATTCAAGTAGCATTGTTTAATTTGCGTTGAAGAGCATCACACTCGTACCTATTTTTACTTTTTGAAAGACCAACTTAAAAATATCTTAAAAAAAGATTTTTCCAAGTAAAAATAATTTTAAAATCTTAAAAATTTTATAAACTATTCAAGTATACAAATAGTTTAAAAATGTAATGTAAATACAGTAGTTAAATAGCATAATTTAATAATAAATAACAATTTGTATTTTATTTTTTTATTGTCATGCATGTGTAAATTAGATCTTTCTATATTTTTACTGTTTAAAACAAGCAGGAAATGGGGAAAACAATTACTTTCTACCATAAATTTGTTCGTATTAATAAAATTTTTAAATATAAAATACAAATCCACAGCTGATACAGGTATTAAAATGAGAAAAAAAGAATACACTGTTTTCCTATTTTTACTTCGAGTGAATGTATTTTTAGTAAAACACAATCGAAAGCAAAGAGAAATAATTGATTTCTGAAGCAAATGTTTTGGTTTCTTTTGAAAGATTTGATTGATTAAGTTTTAACGTAAAAATACATTATACATTTTCAACAATGAGTACATGAGATTTTATCAATCAGCTCTTCAGACAGATTTAAAAAAAATGAGTACAAGAAAATCAATTATTATTTCTTCTTATATTAATCCATCATATATTTCTTTTTTTTTTTTTTTCTTTCGTATGAAACGAAGCATTTTTCTTCATCGTCTGATGTTTCGAAAGAGCCAATCAATAATCAAAAATCAATAAACTAAAAACTGATTCTGAATTTTACTTTAAAAAATCCAAAATCTGACGTTTTAACTAAATCAAAATTTAATTTTTACGTAGTTGAATCGATTCCACACGATCATAATTAGAAGAAATTTAAGATTTCGACGTTTCTTTTCTCGATTTAACACATTTTAAACATTTAATGACGTTTAAAAAACGTAAAACAAATACCACTAAAATGAAGCAAATATTTTCTACAGGAGTTAGAGTTAAATCTCGATTTAGCATACATTTTGCTCGCCTACGAAATGAGCACTAATTCGAGTGTAGCAATTAAAATTCAGAACTGACTCAATATCTTGCGGATCCCTGTGCAAAAATATAAAGTGTCAAGATTCGTTTACAAATTTTTACTGACGCTATATGAAGGTGACGTTATTTAGGAAAGCGCTATATGAAGGTTTACAATTTTGAAACAACAGCAATGTAATTTACAGTCGCTTCTTCGTGTAATGGGAAGAGGATACAATTGTCAATTTAATCAAATTCTAATTTAGTTATGAGCTAATTCATAGGCAAATGGAATTAAGAAGACAATTAAGCTATTGATATATAACGTAAAAACAGTAAAATCTCCAATAGATGATTTTCAACTATTCAACGATTTTTCAAATATTTTTAGATTCTTATAACATTTTACTATTGTAAATTATTACTTCTATTTTTGATATTTATTTTAATGTAAATTTATAATGCGTAAAATCGAAAATATTTCTTGCATACGTAATTACAGTAGATGGACATTTCTAGGAATGATTGAAAAATCTATATATATGAACAAAAATAGAAAATGTTCGAATTATCTAATAGAATATATATAATTATGAATATTTATGAAGAAATAAACAGTTTTATTAATGTATTTGTCTATTCTTATATTGTAAATTATATTGCCAATATTACGAGTTCATTTATTAATAATGCAAGAAAAGTTTTTAATGTGTGCTACTATGAAGTAAAATATGAGGTATGTTTACAATAATAGATTCATTTTTGAAAAGAATATTTATATATTTATTGATTCTATAAAGAAATAATTGGTAAAAAAAAAACTAGTTTGAGAAGAACTCTATATTCTAGGACTCAGACAGAAAAACCTCCTCTCTAGCGGTCTCCAGACAGAAAACCATTTCTAAATACTTGCTATAGATCTACATTATAAATACTATATACAACAATACAACTAATTTGTTATATTCTTGCTGTACCACTTATACGTACAGTACAAGTTAGTTATAAACTAAATAATGCACAAACCGAAATATCTGGAACTTTGAAATTTTTGAAGCAGTTTAAGTCTAGTTTATAACACTAAAAATTTCATTTAAATAATTACACACACACAAGTATACAAATTTATTAAGTTAATAAATTCGTGTTAAGTTAGTTGTTATTATTTCTTTTCCCAATTAAAAAGTTAGGAAATGTTCAAATTTGCATTAATTCTGATGCAACTTTGTTAATACATTAATTAATCATTCCCAAAGAACTGATAAATTTGAAATAAATTCATTTATGTCTATAAAATATATAGTACTGAAATTGCACGAAATATTTTATTGTCAGCTGTAGGAACAATTGTTACACACAATGTATACTTGGAATAACTATACTGAGATGATACTAATGACACTGCATATTGCTACTGACTTCTTTCAGACATGATTTTAATGGCTTTGACAGCCAGTAGGCAGAGATGCTAAAAGCACCAAATGCTCGCTATAGAAGACTTTGGTTAAAGTCTGATCGAGTCAAAAAATTTTCACAGACGATCTATTCGGGCTACGTCGTGTCCCCTATCTTATCAGTTAGCCATTTCCCATTGTCAGCTTGGATGGTTAGTTAGATGAAATAAGGCAACGCAACACAAGGACGATCTGCCAAAGGAGGACATCTCCCGGAAAAACTTTCTGTGAGAAACATTAGACACGTGAAGAAAACAGAACTCCATGCAGCCAGCCTTTGGTCAAGCGTAAACTCCTGATCAAGCTACTAGTATTCAGTGGTTTTATCCATTGAGCCACTGACGTGCATCTGATGGGCATGAAAAAAGTTGATCACATGATGGTTGAATGAAGAAAAACTATTGAGAAGTGATGATACTACTGATAATGATAGCACTACTTACTGTATTTTGTTTTAAAGGATAATTTATGAGTATTTAAACTCTTGCCTATTATGGAAATCACCTTGACATAAGATAAATTTTTAAACTCTTCCCATCCTACGGGCACTAAGAGGGCCTTTTTTTTTATCTTGCCCATCGTGGACATGAGGAAAAGCTCTTAGTTTCAGGTCTTATTAGCATTCCCATTATGGACCAGATCCATAATTGAGGCGATGAAGTGCGGAGCCCAACACGACCGTAATAGATCGTCTATGGAGCGGGAATCTCACGAATTTTCAAATTCGAATCCAGATCCCTAGAGATATGAGTTGACATCTCGATTATCCATGAAGATGATCCTCAATTTCCTGTTCTTAACTAACAAGATAAATATTGTGTATTAGTATGTCATAATTACACAATATTAATTTGAAACATCAACTCTTCAGAATTTTAAGTGAAGACATAAAACCTGTTTTAAATAATATTAATAACCACAGATTTTTATTTTACTTGCAATGTTTTCCCATTCTAGTGAATAATGTTGATAACCTCTGTTAATAACAAGATTCTGTTCCATTACAAGGAAAAAGCTATTCGAGAAAGTAATTCCCACGTAGAAAATCAATAAGAGCGACATTAATGGAAGATACTGTTGATCTCCTATCTTCAACTACTTGCCAAAGCAATAAAATAAACTCATAAATCCAATAATTTCGTCACGAGGTACTCGATTTTATAGTAATAATTTTTCTAGATTTTAATATATTTTTCAGGAAAAATCAACATTGAAATGCTTAAATTTTATTAAAGACAATTCGTTCTGCCGTTTAGTTAAGCTACAATATGGCCGAAAAGTTGATTAGCCACTATAAAGATTGAGTGTCACGGTAGTGACTCCCTGCCAAGTAAAAAGTCACTGACCGACTATAGCCTACATACAGGTATCGGAGTTGCCTATTTTCTATTTCTCTGCTTCCCAAAAGCCAAATTTAATTCTGAATATCTCGTTCGAAAGATAATCATTTTCTTAGGTAGGTAATTTTAAGATTTTCTATAAAGTCGTCGCCGAAATATAAGTAACCTAAATGTGCAAATATCGCCAAAAAATGCTCTATTTTCTTAATCCTGCACCGAAGACGCTCCTACAGAAAAAAACCTAATAGTCTAGAAAGCTTAAATTTTAAACTTGATCCTTCTTCGTTATCAGTGAGGTGCAGGTGAAACTTCCGGGTTGATAGGTCAAAGTTCACGGAGTTTTCCCATAGAGCTATTTTGCTTTTATGTAAGGATAAAATTGCATCTAAATGAATAATTTTTATTCAAAATGTTATCCAGAATAACAAAAGCGCAAATTTACGCCAATTAAAACTTTTTATATACCGTATCGAAAGAGTTTGTTGCAGAGCACCGACCGAATTGATTGTGTTATTACATAAAGACCGTCATCGCCTCAGGTCTTGATGTAATAACACAATTATTAACCAGAAAACTATTGAAATCCAAACAAAAACATCTGAGATTTAAAAAAAAAGTTGCGCCAAGCAGGAAATTATGCCAAATTTTTATCTTGAGATTTTTTTTTTTGTTTTTTGATAAAGATAAGCTTGGCACTTCGATGCTGTACCCATAACATTTTTTACGTGTATTATTATTTTCTACATTTCTAAGCGCCAAACTCATCTTTATCAAAGAAAAATTCTCAATAAAAAAATTTGACTGTCGTCTAAATTGACAATTTCCGGCGCAATTTTTTTACATCTCAGATGTTTTTATTTGGATTAAAAATTACAATTAATTCAATTGTATTTTTATAACTTTTTTTCTTTTGCAAAATCAGTAGAAATTTGTTCCAAATTCAGTTTACGACTGTATATGCATGCATATGAGAAAACACAATTAATCATGGCTAACTGAATTGGGCCATCCCGTTGTCACACATCTAACTAAATTATTAAAAAAAAAATTTTTAACAATACGTAAAACGACATTAGTTTTAAATATAGAGAAATTTTAAAACTTTCCCTAAAAATCACCTTCTAAATATTAGAGAAACAAGATGTTTATCTTGTTTCTCTAATATTTTAATAAAATATATCCAATACGTTATTGGCTTGCTATTTGAAAAAATTGTGGACCTATAAATTCCCACCGTCTTTCCTTAATCTCGAGAACGGAGTTAGATACAAGATTAGACCAGATATGGAAACCTTAGTGCCATGAGGTTCCGATTAACTATATACAGACTTCCGATGCAAACTAGAAATCATGTTATCTCAATTCAAAAATTTTCCCTAAAAGGTGTTATATAGATCACCGACATACACTATTGTTAAAGGAAAAGTATGATGTACAGGGGCAAGCCACTACTAATTTGAGGTGGAGAGAATATATATTAAATGAAATAAATTAAAAATTGCAGCCCAGCATTGTGACGATGTCACAATAAATAAATGCTCGTTTTTATTGCATTTTTTACATAAGGAGAACTATAAAAAAAAAACTGACTGAAGACAAAGCTGAGAATAATCAAGTACATTCGATTCTACCAGAGTTTGGTTAATTATTAGATTTTTAAGTACTCTTAGATTCTTAAGTACTCATCCCACTACGTCTCTTCAAAGCTCTAAGAATTAATTGAAGCACAAGTAGCAATTGTTCCATGTAACTAACAATAACTGTTGCCGGAGCATTAACGATTACACTTAAAATTCTAACGTATAAGTGTAACTGAAATATTGTTTCAATAAGTACTGTATAATTAACGAACTTTCAACACGAGTTTATCAAACCCAATACTACGGATGGAGTTTTGATATGAATAATCAAATTTTCAGAATAAAAATAGAAAATTTCACAAAGGTTTTAAATATTTCTGTAATTCTCCTGGGTTTATTTAAAAATTTATATATAAATCTTTACTCACAGACCAACTTTTCATCCAAATTTCCTCTTGACGTCACGGAAAGTGCTCGGATAAATTCTTCAAATTCGATGGTTCCATCCTTTGATAACAAAAATTATTTTATATGTATAATAATTTTTTTAAAATATGGATTTTCATTACGATTTTCTTATAAAAATGGTGAAAAATAAATTTCAATTACTTTATTCTCGTCAAATACTCTAAAGACCAAGCGAGCAAACTTGGACGGATCTCCTTGAGGAAAAAATTGTTTATAGATCCGAAGGAAGCCCTGAAAATGAATTATCCGTGATTTATGCTATACTTAACATGCGAAGAAAAAACAAATATTAATTTACCTGTTCCGTAAGTTGGCCATTTGGGCAATCTTTAATGAATCCTTTGTGCCTGAAAAAATATACAATTCATTTCGCAGCAATTTTTCCATAGATATAAAAAACCTGTTACCAGAAATTAAATAATATTTTTTGTATACTAAGTATACCCAAAAAAATTTGAATAATGTGATTAAAGTATGCTGAACTTAGTCTCTGTAGGTTAATACGCAAAATGTCTTAGCAATGTTTTAACTTGACTTATTCTCTAAGAACGAAATAAGTCTCCTGAAGGTTAATTTGAATCAATAATTGATAGAAAAAATTCTTTTCATTCACATCATTATTAAAGATAATTGCTTCAAAGCTCGATCTCTTTGCAAATCATTACAAAAGTTGCCTAGAAGTTCCAAGTCCCGATGCATCTCTTGAAAATTAAATTAATTCTTAACAATGCTTTGGTTAAATCTTGATTTGAATAATTCATCAAAGTTTAAAGATTAATGAAAAGAATATTCAAACTTTAATGAATTCTAAGCATCAGAGTTCGAGACTTTGGGGAAATTCTTGCAAAGTTGTATTAAAAAGTTTCAAGTTCTGATACATAACTTGGAACCAACAGAAACCAGAGCCTAACCAACACTTTCTGCATAATGCTGAATTGAAGCGGTTCAAAGAGCCGAGATGATAGTTCAGGGAAAATGGAAAATAGAAGAGCAAAAGGGATATTGCACAAGGACGGCAAACAATGTACAGAAAAACTTGAAGAAAAATTGTTCATTGTCTGCAATCTTGTGAATATAAGATGCCACAATAATAATGCTTTACTATAATAAAATACAAGAGATTTTTGTAAGAAGAATGCAAAATTTCCATGTTCTATAAATTCAGTATTGAAAAAGAAAGATTCCTGTAAATCCTTCACAGGACTTTTGTAATAATAAAAATAAACTAATAGTAGAAAATAAATCGAGACGACGTTTCTGAACAGTTATTTGCAAAAATAAATATACCATCTGTTTAACAATCTTGTGCCATTATTTGCAAAATAATTGAATTGTACAGCAAATAGAACATTTATACATAATTATTTGTAATTATTTGCAATGATAATTTCGTTTTATAATTTTAACCATTTAAGCTTTTGCTTAATTTCTTATTTTATTGCAGATTGTTCTTAATTGCAATGCTAATTTACTTAGTAATTCGCATCAATTGTGAATAAAATATTGACATTTTATAAAATTCTACAATTATTAATTCTTTTATTTACTCATATGTTGCAGAAACTTTTATATTATATATATATTTAGATTATATTGTTTGCTGTTTTTTTATACCGCAAGAATTTCATGAATTTTTTATCGCTCCATTTTTTCAAAAATAGAATAAGTGTGTTTTGTTTCGTGAGAGATTTGCTGGCGAAAATCTGAAATCAATTTTCGGTTTGTCTGCAAGTTATCACGGAAATAAGTCTTTCAGACGGAATTATTACGTAGAATTTATTTCGTGAGATCTATCAATCAATGTTTAAAGATTTTGTTTTCGTTGTTAACGTTCACTCGTTAATTTTAGTTAAAATAATGGTACAAGGTTAATGATGTTAAGGCTAATTAATTCCTCATTTTTATTGATGGTTTACCTAAAACAGTCCTCAATTCGTTAAAAATTTACCTAAAACAGTTCTTACGACTTACGTTCAAGATTTAGCCGGAAAAAATTGTAATTTTGAAAAAAATAAAATATTCTTACTAAAACTTTTCGAATAAAAGCTCAATTTTAAATATGAAACTGATAAAAATTCATTTAAAATTTGAACCGTGTATTATCTTCTCGAAGGAATGAACAATTAAAAGAGAATTAGAAAATTAAAATAATTACATCTTGTACTTTCGAGAAATCTGACAGTAATATTAATTTTAAAGGAGACTATAATTATGACATACAGCTAACGCTACTAATAAATATTCTTATTTAAGTATACATTATACATCTATAAATAAGTAGGATTAAAAATCTCAATTTATTTTCCCTCAAGTCGCCGAGTATTAAACTATACTTTTTCGAATGGATAAAACCTCCAAAAAGTATTATTTCTAGAAAACAGAGAAAAATTAACTGTCTTACATGCTTTTTTTAAAAATCTTAATTCATCATTTATTAAAATGTAGTAGTAAATTTATTAGAATGAATTTTTAAAGTTCTATAAATAATTAACAAATGATTTTCGGTAGTGGTTCTCACCCTGTAAACTGCAAGTCCCTGACTGGGTCTGCGATATTCACATTTAATTAAATTTTATTTTAACACATTTAAAGTCGTTTTATTTAATTGTCATTATTCTCTAAAAATGCCATAATCAACGATAATAAATGTTAACTTAGTCCTCAAAATTTATTTACAGCAAGAAGGGGTCTCAAAGATTAGAAACCATTGGTTTAAAGTACTTCTTGTACAACATGTGTGCAATACATAACCACTATTTTAAATAGTTTACAAGACATTTTATGAAAATTGACTTGTAGTCTATAAACAAGTAATTTCCAGGTGTAAAGTAAATATAGAATCATTAACAAATAGGAACTCAGCCAAACACACTCAAGTGAGAACTTGTCTATGTTATGCCCACGCTGGTAAGTTTTCATTAGTGAATCACTTGGTTGATTTCACTTGTGGACACATTTATAAGTGAGAACTCAGCATGAGTGCATTCATGGAGACCGAAGACTCGCCTACATGGGGATATCTGCAAGTGAAAATTGGAACACGAAAATAATACCAGAAATGTTTAATATCTCAATAATTACATGTTCATTCTAAGAAAATTCACTCAAAAATAGGAAAAAATATTCGGATTCTATTTTATATTGAACACCTTTTTAATAAAGTCGTTATTTATTTAAAATAGGCTTACTTTTATTCAAGAAAAAGCTCTTTTAATACTGGTAATTCGCCATCCTAACCTCATATTTATAGCCCATTTACAAGTAAAATGAAATTTCGATAGAATTTCATACGTGAAATTTCACACCAAAATTTTTATTTTAGTTATTGGCGAATATTATAAATTATTTTGAAACTAAATTCTGCTATTTTTTAACGTTACATAAATTACATTAATTAAGTTATACCTTTAAATCTAATTAATTAAGCCAAATTTTAGTAATTAAGTAATCGCATCCAATAACACGATCAGACTATTTTATAACTTTGAAACTAGCAAATAATTTACTGTTTTTTAGGCAAATGAATTAATTTACGCTGTTTTGCTTCGAGGAAGGAAAATTGGCAACATTTTTAATGAATATAAGGTAAATTATCTGCTTCCCAAATTGAAAATAGCATAATTTGCCTGCTTTTTCTCAACGATAAAGGACGAGTTATGAAAACAGTAACAAGTATTGTTGCCTAATTTAAGATAAGTTATCTCTATTTTTCAGGCAAATAATAGCTTTGTACTCTCTTATAAAGAAAAATTTAAAGTAACATATACTCTTTTCTCGGCTACATTAAATAGCGTACACAATGTTTATAATTAGGCAACTCGAATGGTTTTAATTAACCAAAATTAGGTGGCTTTATGCCTTTTTACTCAGTCAAAATTACCTATTTTAGTTGATAAAATTATCAAAAGGTATATAACTTAATACTTTAATAAATAAAGGCAATTACTTCTGCTCTGACGGAAAATAAGAGTACTTACATCATTATCATAAAGTAATTGATGATGTTTTTCATTTAATTAAGCAATTCATGTTCCAATTTTATAAACCTTCAATTAATAGTCCGCTTATGTGACTTTCTACAATAATTTTCACGATAACCAAATCATTTTTGAAACATTCAATATACTTTTGTTTGTTAAAACGTAAATAGGGGAAATGCTTATCTTGTAATATTCGAGTTACGTTGAAACGTATTAAAATGTCAATAAAGCTTTACGGGCAGTACGAACAAAAAATAATCAAGTGTACAGTCCGATCGATAGTATCTATAATTGGAAATTCTATTTGAAATCATTATACAATGAGGAAGCAAAGGTTTAATTACTTGAAGACGATTATGACATAGTCAAAATTGCAGTAAACATGCTTAATTTAGCATCTCAAAGCTTTATTAAGATACTCCAAGTTTATATTAATAACAATATACAATCCTAAGATATCTCCATTTATAATGGAGTCTTATCAATGAAGGTAGACTTGGCAAAGTGGCAATGCCCATATCTAAAGATAATTGCCTTGATAATTATTAAATTCATAAAATTGTCGGCTATTATTTAATCAAATTAGCATAAATTTGTCTTAGTATAATCATACCAAACTTTAATATTATTAGATTATTTTAGTAAATTAGTAGATTATTAATAAAATGTATGAAGCAATCATAGGATTGTTCGTAAATCTCTCTCTTCCTATTTAGTAGTATTATTTTAATTTTTAATCTAACAATAACCGAATCATAACTTTTTAAAGTAAATAACAAAAAAAAAACTAATATAAAATTCATTTCTTAACGATTTAAATTAATATTTAATCAACTTTAACATAACGCCTAGACATTCATTTCACTTAATTTGCATAAGAACAGAATCAGCAAGCGAAACAGAAATACGATATACATTAAAATTTAAATAAAAATAATAATAAAATAAACATTAAACACGTCATTTAACGGGTTTAGTCGTATTAAAATTAAATTAAATTTTAATACGACTAAAATATGAATTTATCTTCAAAATTTAAATTAAGTAAAGATAATTTACATACAGGTATTTTTTTTTTAAATGAAAAACTTGCAATTTAATTATTTAATGTTTTAAATGAGTTAGAAAGATGCATTTCATCTTTAAATTTAGTAAAAATAGTGTTTAAAATATACTCACCACTGCCTGATCTCTTTCTCGGTAACTATAAAAAGAAAACTTCATTTTAAACAAAGAAGATCGATGCACTCAGAATTAATATCAGCTGCAGTAGACAGGAACAGCCTCTGGTTAACTCTACCTTTTGTTACGAAGTACATCTGACAGAATCAACTAACGAAGATAAGTCTTGCCTCATAACAACTTTAAGTAATATTCTAAACGCAAAAATCGATAGATAAAAAAGGAGTGGAATGCATCTACCTTGAACAGAATCAATCTAGAATTGTAACGTTTTAATTACATTTACCTTAATTTACGTTGTTAAAACTGTATAATTAAACTCTTCTTCGCATTATAAAGGCCAACGCTTATACAGTGTAATGTACAATTAACGGTTTTATTTTTGAATTTCATATTAACGGTCGAATTGTTTGTTAGCAAAACGTTACAGGCAGTGTTGCTATAGTAACCAGGTGAAGGGTCAACTAGAAGAGGCTACGCCCGTCTCTGCTACTGAATCAGTAAACTGTAGAAAATTATTATAATAAAATACTAGAATATATGCAAATTTTAAAGGTAATGTTTAAAGTGTGAAGAGTGTTGCGGATTATTAATTAAACGCTATCTTATTCTACATAACACTTAAATTAGCACGAATTAAAAAGAGTATTAATTACTTTAATCGGAATTTATTTTTATAAAAATTACGTTGGAAAAATTTACAAAATGGAAAACAAATTTTAGTTGCTTATTTTACTGTAATTGTTTAGTAAATTGAAAAATCGAACAGTGTAAAGGTATTAGAATATATACATAGAATTATGGTAATTAGATTAGTTACATTTGGATTTTATTCCGTTCTTTTCCATCTTGGCAAATTACATTGTTCCAAACGGTTAAGATGTCATAATTTACAAAACCATTAAAAATATTACATTTTTTTTATATACAGTAGAAGTGTATAGATTTTATTCTGTTACTTTAAACGTACAAAAGTAATAAAGCGGTTCAAAATTTGAATTGAATCTCTTCGTCACTTAAGAAAACACGAACAAGAAATTGATATTTATTACAGGTGAGTATTTTTATGAAATTTCGTTTCAAATGCGGATAATCTTACTAAAAATCTGTGCCGAATATGAGTGTTCATTGAAGAATTCTGTGTTATATACGAGTATCTTTGCAGAATGTTTATAACGGAAAAAAACACGTCTTGTTAAAAATGACGTTAAAACTTTGCAAAATGATATCTTTCTACGTTCAAGAAAGATTTATATTATTAATTCTACGAAGAAATCACAGAATAAGAACTTATAATCTAAATGAAATGTTATATAAGATATAAACTAATAAACGTTTCAAAATTATATCACCCTAAAAGTTAAATTTTTTTCATTCCAAAGGAATTATTTAATACGCCAGTAAAACTATAAAAGCAAGAAACAAATATATCCAAAACAAGAATTAAAAATATAAATTTTTCCTCGAATAATAATAAACTAATATCTATAATTATTCTTTATAAAAGTGACAATATAGAAGTATGCTAGAGAACTGAAGGTCTACTTACCCTTGATTCATACAAAGAAATAAGGATTTTATTTAGGTGATACTTGAAATAGAATCTTTAGAGTTAATGAAATTCCTTATTTTAAGAATTCTTTAATTCTTAAAATTTTAAAATCTCTTTAAAAACTAAATATAACTATGTTTCTCTTAAGAAAAATGCAACTATTGGAAAAAATATAATGATATAATCAAGATAAAATTTGGATACTAAAATAGGAAACGGATACGTGACAAAATTACTTTTATTGCCACACACACACACACACACACACTATATATATAGCCTATATATATATATATGAACCGTATTTCCCATTTAAAAGAAATTTAACCTTTAACCTTTTAGTTTAACCTTTCTACAGTTGTTCGATTTCAGCAAATGGTAAAAATTCGTAATGAATGAAACAAAATTAAATTATAATGGCAATTAGCATAGTCTCGATTTTCTCATATTCGAATATAGAAATAGTGGGTGGCCAAAAAGTCAGTTAAAGCATACATCATTTTAGTCTTTACAATGGTTTATCACTTATAAACTTTACAGCGCTTGCTCAAAATGAAATCTTGTTTAATGTACGAATTTACAATGCTTTAACATTTTAATTTTTGGAGATTTACACGGTTAACTGACTTTTGGGCCTCACTACATAAATATTGCTTCGATTCTGACCAAATTTGTGTGTGAAAATATATAAAATTGATACAATATCAGATTTACATGTTTAAATTAAAAATTAAAATATTTATTTTATTTTAGTAATTTTGAAATTTTTATTAATTCATAAATGTGTAATTAAATTAATCATTTTGAACGACTTGCACAAAACCTTCAGCATTTTATTGAAATTTCAATTACAATTTTCTTAAATAAAATTTCTTTTAAATCTTAAAAAAAAGTAAAGGTGGAATTAAGCGTGAGCTTTGTTAATTTCCTGTAGGAAATGCTCTAAGGTGTATCATATTTAGGGAATTAGCTAAAGTTCTTTGTAAGTGATGCTCCAAGATAATTTCGTTAATTCTTTGGAGCATCACAAAGTAATTAAACGTTTAGTGAGTGACAGATGCATTTTCGAGACAAAATAAATCAAGAATTTTGAGTATTAAAAATAATGTCAGCATTACGTATACCAAATTCCCATTGAGCTACATACAGTATTATCTAATTTTACGATATTTAATAAGACAAACTGTAGGTGGTCTGCTCTTTAATCTTGATCATTGATCTGCCTCTTTCTTCTATCGCTAAAGGGGAGAGAAAGGCAGATCATTGATCTGATCTTTTCTTTCGTTAAAGAAATTTATAGGATCATTTATGTTATTTATCCGTATCGTGATATTTATATAAAGGAAAACATAAGATAATATCGCTTCTTTCGGGATTATTTACACATTATTTATCATATTATTCACTGTAAAAATATAGCCGGGGTGACTGTTTAAATCAGTATTTTTTAATAAAAATTTTTTATAACTTGATTAATAATAAAATTTAATATTTATAAAAGGAATAGATCTACACAGATATAATATATACTTAAAATATATTCTTGTATTACTGTTTTCTGTTATGATAATATCCATTGTCGTGTAAGTAACGCAGAACTCCGCTTCTACGACTTAACTGTTTGGTAGAAAGCGAGCCATGGTATTTCCATTAAATCTGGTTTCGTACATCGAAATTGCGTACACGAAAATTGCATTTTTAAACTATCCACGAACGTAATCTCAATAATACTGTATTAAGCTCAGGAAACGGCATGGCTCGCTTTACGACGGTATTCTAGAAACACATTAAGTCGTAAACGAAAAAAATCTGCTGTTTTATTTAAATATTTTAACAGTTATTTTGACAAACGAAACACTTTTTTGTATAAATTCGCATAAAAATGTTTAATATCCGAAAATCAATCTTAAATAATAAAATAATAATAGTAATACTTTGAATGACTTTCAACTATATATAAACTATTCTTAAATTTTCTAAAATAATAAAACTTCTAAAAAAATTTCGTTAGATTTTCATTTCCTTAATTTTGAAAATTTTTTTTATTTGTTTATTTTAAGTGAGAAGAGAAATCAAGCTGTCAATCCAAAGACAGTTTTAGGGTCTTAAGACTGACAGTTTGATTTCTCTTATGTCATTCTTGTCACAAGATTTATCAAAATAGATTTCTCGATAGATGAAATGATATAAAAAGATTTAAATTTTTAAAATGCTCAAGAAATTTTTTAACTCTTTCCTCCTAAAAGACACTAAAATTTCTGTAACTAATTAAATCTTGCAACAAGTTACCAAAAACAGGGCCATATTTACATGTAAACTTAAACAAGCTGTAATTTAGGGTCTCGTGATTTTTAAATTTGTTGTTTAGTAGATGGAAGGTCCTCTTATATGTTACACTTAAGGACCGCAATGGGTCTAAATCCGCTTTGACTATTTCCATTTTCTTATAAGATTTCATCTAGATAAAACACGGAATATGCATTATTCATATACCTTAACATTTTCTCTAATACTTATCACAAAGATGAGATTAAGATTTATCACAAAGGAATATTTTTATCATATTTTAAAGAAGAATAGAAGTGAAATTTAATACATTATTTAAAGAAAAACACGAAAATCTCTTATTACAAGAAGTGAAAGAAGAATAAAATTAGGAAAGTGAAGTATTGTATACAGTGGACTTTCGATTTAGTGAACTCTCAAAGGGCTGAAATGAATTGTTCACTATATCAGAGGTTCAGTATATCAAGAACTCACTATACCAGGAGCAAGAGTTCACTATATGCATAAAGAATAGCAAGGACCAATAAAATTTTTCACTAAATCAAAAGTTAATTATATTGAGTGGTCAATATATCAAGAGTTCATTTTATCTTGAGATTTCCAGTCGCGATAACTTTTAATGTTATCAAGTTGATTACATAATTATCCACGTAAGATAAATTTCTCATAATCAATCGAGACAACTTGATGAGTGAAGTGTAACAATATAATTTGTTATGTCTTGGATATATTTTGGAGATTAGAGTAAAATCTAATTAAGAAATCAGAAAGAATTACGTAATTTCTTTGTAAAAGAATTTATTTTTAGTTACGACGACAATTTCAACAACCTATAAAAGTTTATTACAATTAAGATAGCGTGCAAAGAGCAATCCATGGACATATTGTTTTCCACATCCAGAACTCGTTTACAATTACAAACAAACGAATAAAAGCTGGAATTGTTGCAATTTCTATCCTTTCAATGTTTCATGTTTCAATCAGTTTATAAAGAACAAATTCACTAAAACAGAACTTGAAACTTTCAGTAACCAATTACAGAATATCTTAGATTTTCAAGAATATTTACATTCTTGACAATCTGGAGATATTATTATTATTATTATTGAAGCAATAAATCCACTCTTTAATGTTTCCACTTCTAATTGTAAATTATTAATTATGAAATGAGAAAATGATAAATT